GGGCTGTGTAGCCGCTGCTTTTGCCCCAGATTTTGCCCGCTGTGCAGGAGCTCGTGCTATACACGTCTGCACAGCTCGGTGGTCAGGCTCCGCCCCCCTGAATCTATAATATTAATCATTCTTCTTGTGTTATAAGAGGAACATCTTAGTGGAACAAACTCAGTTTGATCTGGATGGATTATAACCTTTAATATGGATTTTAGTCTGTGGGCTAATATTGCCGAAAATATTTTAACATCACCATTTAGTAATGAGATTGGTCGGTAATTTTCTACTTTCATAAAGTTTTTGGTAGCAAGAATTGGTAGCAAGTTGGCTTGCAGCATTTCTGGGGGAAAAGACTTGCTTGTATTACAATGTAATTAAATGTCGCCGATAGCTGTTCTAGTAACTATTCCTTAAATTCTTTGTAGAACATATTGCCGAAACCATCTGGGCCTGGTGTTTCATGTTTCCCATCTTATCTATTTCTCTTAAAATTTCCAATTTGGTTACTGGACCGTTTAATTCCTCTCTTTATAAATCTGTTATTTTATTTAATTTCGATTTCCGTATGTAATCTATTTTATACTTATCTGATATTTCTTTGAGGTTATATAAGGAATGGTAAAGCATTACTTTATTTGTTCCGGTGTCATAAATGTCTAATTATTTTTAACTATCTTTATAATACAACTAAATTTTTCTTTATTCTTTAATTGAGCAGCAAGTGATTTATCTGCCCTTTTCCCTTTACTACAATATTTTACTTTTAATTTTTCTAGGTTTAATGTTGTTTTTTTCCACATTAATTTCAGATTTATTAATCTTTGTATCTCAACAAGTTCCTTTTGATGTCAGCTTTGTACATCCCATTTATTGTATCTTGCCACATGGTTTAGTCTGATATATAATTTTGATAGGCTTTCCCCTTTTTTCTTTCGATCTTGACTACTCAAATTTATAAGATGTCCTCTCATTACTGATTTGAATGCACACCAGTTCACAATAAAAGAGGTTTCTTTTGGGTCGTATTCTAGAAAATAGCATTTAATTCCTAATTTAATTGATTTAACATTAGAAATATTGCATAACAAATATTTGTTTACATGCCATGTACTTTTTTTTTTTTACTTGCATCAGTTTTTTGGATATCCCAAATTAGGATATTGTGATCTGACCTAGTATTGTTTTTAATATACATTTTTATTCACTTTTTGCAGTAATTAAATGAAAATTTCTCCAGAGCATATCTATCCTTGAGTGTGAGAAATGGGTGTAATCTCTCAAATATGGGTGTAATACTCGTATGTCAAACAGGTCATTACTATTTAATATATTTGGTAATAATCTGGCAATGTTGGCATGTAATTTTATCTGGTTTATGTACCTTCTCTTGTTTTTGTCCAAGGTTGGGTCCAAAATACTATTAAAATCACCCGCTATAATCATAAATCCAATTTTATTGTGTTCTAGAATATCAAAGATTTTCTTTAAAGTCGAAACTGGATTTATGTTCGGTAGATATAAATTAACCTGCGTGTATTCCACGTTATCAATTTTAAATATGAGGATTAGATATCTCCCCTCTGGGTCAATGACTTAATGCAGAATCTCAACTTGGAGCTCATTTGAAAATATAATTGCAACCCCGCAACATATCGTAATTGGATATTTTTTACCTACAAAATGTATTTTATTTTGTTGCCTCCAATGAGTTTCCTGTAAGAATGCCACTTTTATCCGTTCCTTCTGCCTATAGTCATAGACCACTGACCTCTTAAAAATTGTATTCATGCCTTGCACATTCTTTAAATCCCAAAACCGCGGTCGTCTCTCAAGGATGGACAATGCTCCATTTACAGGGCAACAAAAAAAACCCTCAATATACAAACAAGACATACAAAAACATCAAATTGGTGTAGACTTCTAACTACATGGTTGGATCTACTCCTTCGCGTTATTTCTATCATTAGATAAAACTTAAAGGATAGTAAAAGCAGAGAGATTCCCTCACAAGAAGGTATAGGAGGAAGTACTTATAATAAACGCTAAGAATAGTAAAAATAAAATAATAAATGAATACTAAAAAACAAACAAAAAAAACCACAACCTCGTCATAGTAACATATTCAAAGAGCTTCCCTTTTGGAAACATGTAGGAGGAAGTATTAATAATAATCATTTAAAAGGAGCCGAAAAAACATCATGACCTTATCATAATAACCTATTCTTTACATTATTGTATCTTCCAACTGTGTTTACAGTTTCTATTTAAAGTAAGTTTTAACCCTTTATCATCTTTTTTTCCCCCCCACTTCTTATCTTATTGGGCTTTCTTGAATTAAATGTGTTTCTCTTCTTTTCCCTTCCTTTTCCCCCCCTTTTAAAAAAAAAAAATTGATGGTAATCTGGTTTCTCTACTCTCCTTCTGTTCGTTATTCATCGTTGGAATATTTCCTTGTACTTTGTCCCTTAAATTACGTTGGTTATGATTAATTGTGGTTCTTGTCTATTATGACTGGATTATCCATTTTCACAAGCTGCATCCATCTGCTTAATTCTATTGGAGTCCCAAACAATTCTTGTTGATTATTCCAGAATATTTTTATATTTTCTGGGTAGCCCCATCGGTATCTTATTTGTCTCTCTCTTAACTTCATCAGCATAGGGTTAAAAGTTCTGCACCATTGTCTTGTGTTGAAAGACAAGTCATGAAACATTTGTATATCTTTAAATTTTTCTTCTGTAGGAGGGTTATCTTTGAAAGCTCTCATTATTTTTTCTTTAAAGAGATATGAATGGAAATTGATCATGACATCTTTTGATATTTTGTGGTTTATATAGTCTGTGGACTCTTTCCATTTTTAATTCATGAGTATCTGCATCTGGTAAAATAATCATACTCCCTCTAGAATGTAAGCTCGTGGAGCAGGGCCCTCCACCCCTCTGATCCTGTACGTCTAGTTGTCTGGCTACAATTACATGTATGTTAGTCCACCCGTTGTACAGCGCTACAGAATCTGATGGCGCTATATTAATAATAAAATAATAATAATTCTGTCAAAAAGTCTCTCAATTTCACTTGGGGGACACTTTCTGGGATATTTCTGATTCGAAGATTGGATCTCTTATTTTAGTTTCTAGACTTCCTATTTTGATGGATGTTTGTTTTAAATCATTATATTTAGTGTTGATATTACTAAGGCTCTCTTCTAGTGAAAAGATCCGGTCAGACATTATTTTTAAATCTTTTTTTAAATTTCTGCCGAACTCTGCGTAATTTCTCCTTTAAGAATTGGAGTGAACTTGTCTAAACATTGTTTTAAGAATTCTTGTGTTAAAGACGAACGTTCTGATTGAGAGACACTTTCTTGATAACCGACGTCTTGCATACCAGCTGTTTCAATTCTTGTTTTCTCTGCTTGATCCTTTAAAGAGGTGAGGGAGAAAAACCCTGATAGACTTTTTCTGGTAAAGTGTCTTTTCTCTCCTTTTTTCATTCTTTATCCGTTGTTTTCCTAGTTGCCATTTTAGATAGATTTTAGAGAGATTTGAATTTATTGCACACCTTTGATTTTCTTCCTCTACTTCGCACCTTAATTGGTGCAAGGTTTTTAATTTTTTATTTCTCCTTCTCTCTTCTTTTACCTTCCCCCCTTCCCCCTTCTTCTTTCTCTCCTTTTCTTCTCCCTTTCCCTTCCTCTTTTTCCCCTTTCTTTCTCTTTCTTTTTCCTTCCCCTTATCTTCTCACCTTCTTTCTTTCTATTGCTATTTCTCTTTTTTTTCTTTTTCCTTCTCCCCACCCACCCCCACACACTTTTTCATCTTCTTTTCTCTTTCTCCTTCTTTCCTTTCTGTTAAGTGTAGATTAAATCCAAGAAACAAACAGGCATCATCTCTCTTAACTTAACTTAAAAGGGTTTTAGTACCTTTTTATGTATTGAGTATATTAGAACAGGGAGTAATAATTTAATTAGTTTAAATTGCCAAAAGAAAAAGCAGACTTATTTCCCAGCCTTAATAATCGTTCAGATCTCCTCTGTTGTGTAATAGAACCCGCTTGTGTTTTCAGTTTCGGCGTTCTTCTGGAGTCGTTCTGAGAGTTTGAAGTTTTGTTTAGTTTTGTTTACTTTAGCACCAGCTTTGTGCTCAGTGTTTCGAAACTCCTCTTATTAGTAGAGATAGGTTAATTTGCCTTTTTCCGAGATCGTCGATACTCAGGATACCTACTAAGTATTCCTTCAGTCAGTGCTTCCTCTTCCACTCGACGTGCACGCGTGTGCGTTCACGTCCCCCCCTGACACCACCATTATCTAACTGGAGCTCATTAGCTTTTGCTTATAGTCACATAGAAAAATATTAAAGGACTTTTCCGGGCACCATAACAACTTCATCAAAATGATGTTGTTAAGGTGTAAAGAGGTCCCAGATGTTGGCTTACCGGAAGGGCTTAAACCATTAACAAACATGTTAATCCCAAAGTCTTCAAGCCGGTGCCATGTCTGAGAATTCAATAACTAAACCTTGGACTGGACGCTGCTGATATCTTATTCACTTACTTTTTAAAGTAGGGAGCTGCTGAAGCCTCGGATGTGCAGCGGAAGTTCAGAGGCGGAGTAATCTAGCACCAGCTTGAAGACTTTGGGGTTAAACAGTTTGTTAATGGTTTAACCGCTTCTGGTAGGCTGGTGCCCAGGACCACTCACATCATAACACCTTCATTCCGATGTTCCCCTTTAAGGTGTAAAATTAGGGGCATTAAGATAGAAATGACGGACAGATTATTTGTGGTCAAAACAGAGACTGTCCCTCCTACATAGGCACATTTGGGAGCTACGTAAGGCCTAATAGGAATATTATCAAGGTCTTGGAGAGGGGGAAGATTCTCAGAGTAAAATGGGATTACCACTTCCATACAAAGTTAGTAGAACAACAAAACTGGATGGACCGCTTCCTAGTTTGGGTGAGGTTATTGTAGAAGATGCAAATTTACTAGTTTTCTTATATATTGCAGTTGCTAAAACAACATCTTATCATTCATTAAATGTATTTTTTATTAAAGTGTTGAAAAGAGAAAGTGTACACATATTTAAATAACACTTTAACGTAGAGTCAGGTAGATTATTTTTAACAGACGGCTCATTTGTTTTTTCCCCCCAAGCTTTACTTTTTTAAGTTTCATTTACGGAGCCTACATTTTCTATTAACTTATTATTTAAAGTAATGATTCCTTTGACTTTAATGTAGGATCGTATATGGATCCAACCCACGGAAAGGCTGATGTTCCTTTTCAACACTCAAAGTGGGATACAAGTGCTCGCCGAAATCCAAAGGATTGCTGTCGCCAGTGACCAGTCTTGTGTTGCTGTCTAGGTGTTCTTCATTAGAGTCCATTTTATTGTTGTTCTTTGCTCCTCATTCGTTCTCACCATTAAGGGTCTGGTTTTTGTAGACGTGAGATTTGTAGACCTTCTTCTCGATGTAGACGACTTGGCCACGTTTCTCAACTACCGCATCAGATTTATTCTGAGTGTAGGTGTACTGTGTTGATGCTATGATGTTCTCTAGGTCTTTCTGCTCACTGGTGGCTTGGTAGGTAGGTGTGGTGGACTGCGTGGTTGTTGTAGATTCACTGGTGGAAGCTGCATCTGTAGTGTCTGCTGGTTTTTTTTTCTTGAAAAGCGATACCAACTTTTTCCTAAAAGAAAGGCCAAAGAGAGAATTTCAAGTCGCTTTAACCAATCCAACCCAACATCAATCACAATCAGAATTAAATTTTCATTGTATTACTACTTGTCTTCACATACACACCACCCATTTTCAAAGTTAACCAGCATTCGATACAAATGAGTTCCAAGTGGATTTAAAAAAATATTGAGTGAATTTCTAACCATCTACCAAACCACACTCAATTGGAAATGCATATTTACTAAAATACATCAGGGTTCGTACAAGATCGCTGTGACTTCAAATACAAGCAAAATGTTGTCATTTACTTAAACTAGACTGCTTACCTGTTCACTAATATACCGGTAAACAGTGTGGAAGAGCACGACGAGGCGACTATAGATGAAATAAGCGTAGACGTGCAATCTGTGTAAAAAGAATTTAGAGTGAACCTAAACTGATAAAATTGTTCCTCTGGTTTGCACGTTTGTTGTGAGAGCATCCTACAAATAGCCCTTTAAACGTGTGGTGACCCCCATATTCATACAATGTAAACCTCAAGTCCCCAAATCACAAGTGAATGTAAATATAGACAAAGAACAAAATTCCACCTAAAAAAGGAAGGAATAGGTGCAGGTGGATTGGCGCTAAGACACAGAACAGCAACTACACCCAGTGTCTACAAATCACTCAAAGACACTACCAAATAGTGATAAAACAAAATAACAAAGTGGGGGGTGCAATATACAGATAAAAAGCATAAAACGTATATACTTATTAATAAATGTTTCTTGGGCTTAATCTGAAAAATATAAAAGTCCATACATAGTGTAATACTGTAAAATACAGAAGAGATGTAAACAGAGGTATTGGGTCACTCACAGTAGATAGAGCCTAGAAAGCAGGCTCTAAATTGATCGCATGTGGAAAATCAGCTTTTCCAAGCTATACAGAATGGCCCCACGATCCTCCTATGGATACTGGTATCTGGCTCCAGATGCAGGAAAGATGGATGGTAGACCAAAATTTTAAAGCTTTAAAAAAATATTTACTTCAAATAAAATAACAATATAATAAAATATAATATAAAAAGTAATATAATGAACACAACGCGTTTCGACAAACTGTCTTTTTCAAGTGCATAACAAAATCTTTATCCGGCGTTCCTTTTAAGTCTGTATTTCCGGAAATTCGATTCTCCCACTGGAATCTTCTTCCGGTATGACGTCATGACGCACGTTCCGTCGTTGCGTCATGACGCACGTATCGTCATTACGTCACCTCCTGTAGGTCCACTCGGCGAACCGGAAGTGACACACAGAACTCCATTTCGTTTGAGGGCACTCTATTATATTATAAAACAACTAATAACTTTACACATATATATATATAGAATATATCAAACAAGTATAACTTAGTATAATAATAACCGATAGAAAGGATGACAATATTCCAATGATCTTCAATTATAGTGAAGAACATAAAGCACTTAAAAAAGTTCTCAATAAAAATTGGCATATCTTACAACAAGACACGGAGATTCTACAATATATTGAGAACAAACCTAAAATTGTCTTTAGGGGAGCGAAAAATCTTAGGCAAATTCTGACATCCAGTTATCTAGATAAACCTAGAAATAATAATAACTTTTTAGGTATCTATAGGGATAATAATAAAGGTTTTCATTATTTCGATGACTGTATGGGATGTAAGATATATAAAAATAAACCCAAAAAATTAGACAGCTTTAAATCACGAGTAGGTTCGTATAACTATAAAATAGATTCCTTTATTACGTGTCATTCTAAAAATATAATATATGTTCTCGTATGCCCTTGTGGGTTCCAATATGTTGGGAGGACTTCAAGGACACTAAAAACAAGAATACGAGAACATATATATATAATATTAAAATAGGTTTCCTGAAACATAATGTTTCCTTACATTTTTTGAAAAGCCATGGAGGAGACCCCACAGGACTTAAATTTTATGGTATTCAACAAATTAGACCTCATTGGAGGGGTGGACATATGGAATCAGCCTTGAACCACTGTGAGATGAGGTGGATTTTCAATCTGGACACCTTGTCTCCCAGCGGTCTCAATGTGGATTTTGAAATGAAAGCTCTTATATGAGAAATATATTAATTTTAATACTGTTTTTTCTCTCTCCTTTTTACATTTCTAGATGTATCTGTTATTATTTCCTTTTTTTAAAACGATATATGTTTTAATGTGTCCATATATACAGTTATATATTGCTTGCACATTATCATTTATACAAAATGATTTTATTATGTTTTTTATTATTATATATTTTGTGTAATATGATTAACATTTGTATTAATAGGGACTGTTTGTTATTATTATACTAAGTTATACTTGTTTGATATATTCTATATATATATATATATATATGTGTAAAGTTATTAGTTGTTTTATAATATAATAGAGTGCCCTCAAACGAAATGGAGTTCTGTGTGTCACTTCCGGTTCGCCAAGTGGACCTACAGGAAGTGACGTAATGACGATACGTGCATCATGACGCAACGACGGAACGTGCGTCATGACGTCATACCGGAAGAAGATTCCGGCGGGAGAATCGAATTTCCGGAAATACAGACTTAAAAGGAACGCCGGATGAAGATTTTGTTATGCACTTGAAAAAGACAGTTTGTCGAAACGCGTTGTGTTCATTATATTACTTTTTATATTATATTTTATTACATTGTTATTTTATTTGAAGTAAATACTTTTTTAAAGCTTTAAAATTTTGGTCTACCATCCATCTTTCCTGCATCTGGAGCCAGATACCAGTATCCATAGGAGGATCGTGGGGCCATTCTGTATAGCTTGGAAAAGCTTATTTTCCACATGCGATCAAGTTAGAGCCTGCTTTCTAGGCTCTATCTACTGTGAGTGACCCAATACCTCTGTTTACATCTCTTCTGTATTTTACAGTATTACACTATGTATGGACTTTTATATTTTTCAGATTAAGCCCAAGAAACATTTATTAATAAGTATATACGTTTTATGCTTTTTATCTGTATATTGCACCCCCCCACTTGTTTTATCACAAGTGAATGTAAATCTATGCCCCATTGTGGTCTGGCACTGCATGCAATGTGCGGCTCAGGACACAAAGTTATGAAGTTAAATCCTAGCAAGCTCTAATCTACTCTATACTCTACACTGCAGGGCTGTCCAATAGGTAGATCCCCAGATCTCCATGATGCTTTGCATGCTTTTAGGATTACAAAGCATCATGGAAGTTATAGTTTCAAAACATCTGGGGATCTATCTTTTGGGTACACCTACGCTACTGCATTCAATTCTCCAGGACAATAGACAGAGATCCTGGCTTCAGCAAGAACATGTATGAGTTCTACAACTACACTCAACGTCCTACATGAAAAGTGGGATGTGACCTCACAATGATATCTGTAGTTGGGTAGATCACCAAATTTTTGTGGGCCTCATAGTCATTCCTCTACTACAGAAAATACCCCCAAGTCTTTGTGATGCTATTGGCTGATTAAGGTGTTTCTCATTTAATTACCTTTGCCGGTGGGTTCTGGTTCCAGAAAGGGGGACAAACGAGAGATAAAAACAAAAACAAAAAGAAAAACATAATTATTTGTAAGCAGTTATAAGCATATTAATTATGTAATGGACAATAAATGATGCACTTGGAAATATACTTTGTAAAGTTACAGATATTTTTGTGTTGAGTGTTTTAAATAATTACAATAAAATCATTCTAGTTCATACCTTTCCCTGGACTGTAGAAATTTAGGATTCCAAATTCCGATTGGCTGTTCAAGCTGCTGACATGCAACCTTGTTTTTATGCCACTATAAATGTGGGTGGTTTAACATTATATAAAAATTAAAAAAGAATTGGGGGAGGGGCACCCAAATCCTGGTTAATTGCCTGTCACTCAATATATGTGTAAGGGTAGTTTCTGCAAAATCCATTAAAATCTGTCCAACTTTAGATGGCTAGATTTGGAAGTGGGCGCTGGCCAAAACTGCCCCAGCTCTCATAAGCTATCATTGCCGAGTAAATTACTGAACAAGTGTGCATGCTGCATCAGTGAGAAGCTTATATCTGCTCCCTGAAAATATTAAGCTCATAGGCTGAAGGCAAATGGGTTCTAAATAAACTGGGTTAAAAAAAAAAAAAAAGTGTCCCTCTTCCTTACATAATCCTTTTTCTTCCACATGTTTTTCTTTAAATAACAAGACTTTATGTCCCATCCTAAGGCTAATAAGGGCTGTAACAATAATAAAAAATAAGAATTTCTCCCTCTTTAAATTTTAATTCCTTGCTGGAGTTAGTAAAAGCTCTACAAAATTAAAAATATTTTTAAAATACTCCATGGAGGTGACACTTTATGGAGGTGATATTCATGTTTACAATTTAATTTTTTTACGCAAAGCAGTGTCTCCCAATTTCTTGTGATGTTTTTAGACTTGTGATTTTTTAGACTTCGTTTTACAGTATAGTGCTCACTTGCCTGTGTATGCCTCTCAGCAGTCAGGAGACCCTGAATGTTTGGATGCATTTTAGGCAGCCATGACCCAAGAAGGATCTCTAACAGCTATCTGAGGAGTGGCCAGTGAAGTTATCCCTAGGCTGTAATGTAAACACTGCATTTTCTCTGAAAAGACAGTGTTTACAGCAAAAAGTCTGAAGGTAATGTTTATAGTCACCAGAACAAATTCAATAAGCTGTAGTTGTTCTGGTGACTATAGTGTCCCTTCAAGGATATGAGCAGCAAGAGAAAATAAAACTGAAATAGAATAATATAATATACCTCTGATTACTGATTTATACCACATCAAGTGGGAATGTGTATATAAAATGTATATTGCGATACTGTACAGACAGGCCGATGGCAACTTATTACTGGTGATTTAGCCAGGAGTGGGTAAATGGCGGGCAAAAGAAATACATTTTTGTCATACTAGTAAAACTGTATTAAGTCGAGGCACTTACTTGACTTGTAGCAGTAGGCAGATGCTCTTCTCGTTGGATCTTGACATGGTTGACCTATAAATGTCCCATTTCCTGCGAGGGTACCAACTCCCCAGTTGTACCAAGCAGGTCTAATAGAAACAGAAAATTGAGCAAACTGGTCAGGGGTTCAATAAATATATATAATGCAAAACATGGGTAGTTATAGATAGTATGTATAGTATATGTAGTAGTATGTACATATACGTACATATCAAATGTATACAACCTTCGACACTGCAGATATTGTGGACCATACCCTGATGCTTTGCCAGGATTATGGCTGTAAGAGCATGATGGTAGATGAAGTCCACAATATCTGGAGTGTCGAAGGATGCCTACCCCTAGTATACATAGTATAGCACCTAGTATGAACAGACCAACCAAGAATATTGGACAGACTCTTTGCTATTGTGTCTTTTACAATATCCTAATGGATCCTAAGCACAAAAAAAAGAAAAAAAAACCATCCACAAGGTCAGGCTGATAAATGACTTTTTAACGAAAAGTCTCTGATGATTCATAATGGTGCTTGGTCAGAAACTCACATCTCTTTATGGAGACTTGATGTTTGACGTCAGCTCCCGAGTGGAGCCGAATGCGCATGCACGGCAGAGGCGTGCGCACATTCAAACCTGCCAATAGGAAAGCATTACTCAGTGCTTTCCAATGGGGATCTTATTTGACGCTGGACTCCGTGAGGACGTCCAGCATCATCTCAGTGTGATTTTCACAGTGAGAATCACGAAAGCGGCCTCTAGTGGCTGTTAGGGAGACATCCACTAAAGGCTGGATTGACCCTGTAATGTAAACATAGCAATTTCTGTGAAACTGCTATGTTTTCAGCTGGAGGGTTGAAACTAAGGGACCTAAGGTGGTGCGGGTGCCTATAGTGGTCCTTTAATGTTTATCGTTAGTTATGCCCACTCTGAGTATCTCTTCAATGAACATTTTCTCATTTATCTGCATTCTGTTACTACAAGTGCCATCTTCATATGTACCACTATCTCCCACAATGCAATTACTATACCAATATATGCTTTTTTTTCTTTTTAGATTGTTCTCGTACTAAGTTAAAAAAAAAAAGATATTAAAAAAAAATTCTAAAAAATAAATACATTTTGGAAAATAAATAAAAAAGGAGCCATGATAAAGAATCATATAAGAAGAAACACAGGCTTTTTAAATCATTACTATTATTTTTATGATTAAAATTTGGAAAAGAAACAGGTAATAGATTTATGTACAATTAATACAATACGCAGACTTAGAAATGAAAAGTTGTCCCTTACTTATTATATGTTAATCTGTGGATACTTGTTTCGATCTCCGCCTGCGTAGCAATGTGACTACCATTTAGTAAGCAAATAATGCTTGCGTTGTCATAAGACGAGCTTAGGGGTCCAAGGAAAATATCGTACAGCACATTGGACGTTCCTGAATGCATGGGAGGAAAATAACATGACAAAATTAATTTAGACTTCCAAAAATGCATATATATGCGTTGGTTTTATAGATGTGTGAGAGAGACAGACAACTGGTGCCTATTGGTTAAAAAATAAAAATAAAATTACCAAACAACTGGCATTATGCAGAAAACGCAGCAAAGAAAAAGGCTGGAGAATAATTGAGGAGCATCAGGGTTAATGTCAACCAGTGCGGGGATGCGGGGACTCATGGTGTCACTTTTCCCTGGTGGACCTTATCAGACCATATAAGATTTTCTGGCCTGCACCTTCGGCTAGCTCACTGATAGTGTCAGAGTGTTGTTGCGTGTTAACATAGCAACACTCCAATACTATAAGTGATAGTGCTGAAGCTCACAAGTGCTGAAGCTCTACATAGGCAACCGCCTGTGTTACATTAAAGTAGCACCAGCCCTGTTGGTTTTACCCCCCCCCCCGATGGTGTCAATCAGTGTGGTCCGCACCTCTTAGTGATGGCTGTGATTAAGCCACATGAACAGACTCCTAACAATATAGGTTAACCAGGCAAGTCCCTTGTATATAATTCAGTTATAAAAACAGACCATTTAAACACATAGCATGCGATACCCTAATATAAGGTCACTTGTTCCAGTGGACACCAATATCCAGTTACTCTAGAAGGAGGAGATGGAGGTGGAGAGAGGACGCTAAATGACTGGTGGATAGAAGAACAAAAAAGAGAGAAAGAACATTGATATCCCCGTCTGGGCTGAATCTGTAAGAATATTCTGGCGATCCCCCATTGTTTTAATACGGCCCTGCCTCACACAACAATATGGAGAGTGTTTCAATCTCTCTGTGCATGAGATATACAGGTATATGTGTGGATATCTACTGTAATCCAACCCTTTGATCCCTAAGACAAGATTCCATAAATACACAATATAATGACTGAATACCTCAATTACTTTACAATAAGGTGCCAGTGATGATTGCTATTGTGGGACCTATTCAATAAACAGCAAGTTATGGAGCAGAGACCTGTGCAAACTGATAGATGATCATGTGCATGTTTAGAACCTCTTTTACCAAACTGTTAACCACCCCCAACCATGCTTCTGTCAAGTTAATGCATGGATCAAAGTGCTCCACTTCATGTAATAACATCATACACAGCAAGGTGTTAATACAGCCCCCGTGACAGGTTACCAAACAACTGGCAAAATGCAATCTAAACTCAGAAAATGAAAAAAAAATCCTGCCTTTACAGAGTAATTGTTTTAGCAAGAGATTTTATTTTCCTTGCTACATTGCTCACTGAAAGTTGAACACTATTTGCTCATTAAAATTCGTAAAGACATGCAGGTATTTGCCTTAAGAAAAGTAAGAGGCCCTAACCAGACCTTGGAATTCACCTGAGCATTTGTACCTGCGAGCTTCGGCCCTACAACCTGAAATCGTATTTCCTTTATCTATTTTTCACCTGATTTTCACTTTTGATGTACAACCCCGAGCCCCATAACCACTGCAGCCCTCAAAACGGGGCTAAGAGAGAAATATTATAATCTTACAAAAAACATATATTTTAAATTACTTGAGCCCAAAGGATCAAACAGGGCACGTGATTAAAATATATATATATATATATATATATATATATATATATATATATATAGTGGAGCGCTTATTTAACTGATCTGGTGAATATGAAAATATTTTATAGTGTAAGGTTTTTTGTTTTTTTTTCAAATCTCCCAATGTCCTCAGAGTAGGAGAGATAAAAACGTGATAGTGTAAAACCTTTTTTTAACAATAATTATGTATAAAAATCACAAAGGGACACTCACACATTTAAGAGCTAATGCACCAAAAAATCTATTCCACATAAAACAGTAAAAATTCTATTTAAAATTAAATTTATATGTATATAGTAGTCCAGTCCAGAACGCGTTTGCCCTTTGACTTCATCAGCTGGATAGTTGGACTCAGGTGTCAGCAATCTCCTCTATTTCCAGGAGTACATCGCATTCCAAGCCTCCTTTTCATAGTCGTATATTCTTAGTGGAGCTCCAACACCGGACGCACGTGAACTCCCACTTGAGGGCACACGATTAGTTGTCTCATTATGGATAGAACTTTAGAAGTTACAATTATTTATAATTTAAAGGAAAACTACAAGCAAGCACCATAAGCACTCCAGCACGGTTTGATCACATTTTGACAACTTACCTTGGCTCTGCTGGCTGCCGGTCTCAAACTGTATGAGAGCCGGAAGATCTCTATATTGAACTTAGCCTTGCGGTGCAGGGCTTAGCTCATTGTATAGAGAGATCAGCTGACACTTTCAGCCAATCAGCTGAACCAGCAAGATTAGCTCAGGAGAACTAACGGGAGCTCTACACAGGAGATTTTCGGTCGATATGGAGCAAGTAATGGGTATCTGGTGGACCTCACATTAGAAGTGAAACCATTATCACATGGTTTAACGAATTACACTGGGACAGGGGTGGGAGCATGCTGCAGTGGTTATAGTGCTTTGAGTGTTTCCCTGTTTTTTTTTTTTTTTACATATAATTGTAAGTAATAGAGTCACTTTAATTTGTCACAGATTACTAGTCTTCTGCCCTGTTTTATCCGTCCTGGGATTAAGTCGTTTTTTAAATGGATTTTTTGTATGATTATTAATTTTCTCGTTTAGTCCTCTTTTCGATCATGCTATTCTCCCAGCGTAGTGATGTCTAACTATATCACTCCAATTTTTTTAAAACAACATTTCCCACAATACTCAGTGAGTCTGAGTGTTGGCTAAGCATCATGGGACATGTAATTCAAAAACAAGTGAGGGACCAAGGTATGAAAGTAGTCATTGGCTTGCAAGTTTCATCAGCCCCCAGGAAAATTATGGGATCACACAAGGAAGAGCTTAAAGGAAATATATACCGCTAGGAATTCAAACATGTACTCCCAGCGCTATAGACTATTGACTTGCTCTTTCCGCGTGCATTAAAAAAAGACTATTTACCTTCCATATGGGCCCCATTGCCGCGGTCTTCATGCTGCTGCCCCTCCTAAGATTGATTCACTGCATTTTTATGGATAGCACTCAGTGTTTACATGCAGAGCATGGAGCCCCTAAACATCGCTCCTGCAATCTTTGCAGGACCAAAACCAGGAAGTCCCTCTAGAAGTTGCATTAGGCAGCTGTGTAAACACTGCTGACCCTGCAGGGATATGCAACATGCCCAAGAACCACTACATTAAGATGTAGAGGTTCTGCTGCCTAGTGTCCCTTTAATGGAGGAATCCCTCCCTTTACCATCGCCTCCTGGCCACAGCAGTTCCAGCAGGCATATCACCCTCTGGGAAAGGGGGAAGTTCAGAAAATATGACCCCTCGCAAGTAACAGTGCCACTAAACATGGAATTTATATTCTAACGGAAGACTTGCAAAACAGAGTTATGATTCTTTTGAACAATGTAATAAGGTGCAAACAAAACAGACACTTGTGTCTCAGGGATTTTAGTAAACTCACCATTTTGTGTAATACAAAACGCGTATTGGGATACCATATCTGAGCAGTCTTTTATCAGAATACCCACGCTGGAGTTCCCGCACTGTTGGAGGGGTGTCAGACGGAGCATCACTGTCTCCTGCTCTCTCACCCAGCCCCACCTACGAATAGAGACAGGAAAAAAACAAATCAACTTCTATCTGTCAAAATAGTTCACTTAAAACGCAGAATGATGTATTCACCAAATTGGAATCTGTGAAGAAATGACAAGGGGATTGTATAAGGCTAAATGAGAAGTAATTTCTCTGGTGCAGCTGGATGAGGAAAGGGTAAATGAAAATAGATCTGGAAACTTAAAGTGATGTTACTTGATTATGGTGGAAGATTTGCAACGTCAAATATAAAATATTTGTCATAAATAGCCAAGAAAATTGGTCCTTGAGGCAAGACTGGGGTACATATTTATACAACGCTAGGCTAAAAGAACAGTAATCGTATATCTACCTTAAATATCCTTCTTCAGTCCCTATCACTTGTTTAGTTTCTCCCTTTGTCAATTTCCATGCCTTTTACCGGTCTCGATTATCTGTATTTCTCCCTCAATCTTAGTCTCATAGAAGTTTACTGTGGTGGGCCACTGCCTATTGAATATTCATATATTTTGCCCTTGTATTTTGTGTTCCCAAAGCTTATTCCCATGATTTTCCTTTGCATTCTGTGTTTCCCCGTGAAATTGTGATGTATTTGTGTGTTTTACTTGCTTCCCGTTCAGGAGAGCTCATACGAACAGTGTCTGCTAGTCTCCCAAATGGGGACCACCCCGATACCTCAATTAGAATGTTAGTATAGAACGTTCACACCTCGTAACAAGGTATGAAAACCACAAACCGGAAGGGAAACAAGCGGCGTAATCTTCCCCTGGGAGGCCGGCGGTTTGCATAACTGAACGCCAACCAGGGACGGTATTCGTTTCCCGAACCAGCCTGCTCACACTGTTTTAGGTCACCGTGTCGGGTATCGCCCTACCTGCTCCTTATGTAGCTATAATCACTGTTCAACCCCCCTGCCCAGGAGCTACGAGGCCGGGTTTGTAGCTGCCCAAGCCATTGCTCTCTCTGGTGCTACCTGAGTGGAAGTCGCGAGCCCCAGTGGCATCCCTGGAGCTGTGAGTCAGTTACACAGCCACAGGGGTCCCGCTGGCCACATGGAAGTCCGTTTCAACCAATGGAAGAGGGCGCGCCCATTCAAACTGGGTTTGCGCCATTCTCCTAATAGGTTGACACGAACAGGCACTGATTGGTTGCTGCAGGCCGCAGGTGGCCAATCAGAGGAGGAGTGCTCTTTCAAATGAGGTTTGTGTCCTTGAATAATACTTTCCTATGGGAAATCCTAATGCGACCGCGGCCATTGCCACGCATGTGCACTAGGTCTCCCCCGCCGGCTGACATCGGTGGGGGAGGAGCGTGGGCAGAGCCTGACTTGATAATCAATCTTGATAAGCTCAGCTAATCCAATGCTCTCCCATAGGAAAGTGTTGGGAGACTATTGCGCATGCACTGCAAAACGCAGCGCTGCGCCAAACAGCATCTTCTCATAGAGATACATTGAATAAATGCATCTCTATGTGGAGCATTCAGCACCTTCATGGAGACGCTGAATGTAAGGGCTGTATACAATGCAGCGCTGGACTAGGAAGCACCTCTACTGGCCATCTGAGTGACTGCCAATAGAGGTGTTACCAGGCAGCAGTGTAATCGTTGCCTTTTCTCTGAATCTGCTCGAATCAGAATTTATTCAGATTATGAAGAGCTGCAGAAGACAGATGCTGATTCTGCAGCAAATCCATTATCGGAGAGCCTCAAATTACCGCTCTCAAACAATGATTGCAATTCTGTGCGTATGGAAAGATGCCCAGAATTGACATTAGCTGGCCTGTAACTAATTCTGGGTTGCCTGAAGATGTCCTAAGACGCTGCAAGAGGAGGAGTCAAACCTCTGGCAGCAGACAAGATAACCTCCATAAGTGAAGCATTTCATAGCATAACGCTGCACATACAGACCTCAGACACCATGACGACATCAAATCACTGAAGTGCTCATGGTACATGAAATGACCCTTTAAGTCATCCCTAGAGTTTTAAAATGATCACAATAAGATATTCCATGTAAAAGTCAGATTTTTTTTTGGAAATGTTAAGAATTTGTTTAAGTTTGGTTTTAATTAAAAGGGTATCTGAAAACCACACTAGAACCTGTGCTCTTTGCACAGCATACATGGTGTAAGGTGCTCCTCTGTTCCTATTGATAGTTGCTTATAACTGCAAGGATTTACAATAACCTCTGCAGCTATCAGCCCACCCTTTCTCTCAAATACATCAAGGGGGCAGCCATGCAACTCACATGCTTACAAGATCTTGTATGGTATAAATCTGCAGGGTGGGTATATGCCATGGCAACTTCCGTCGTATTCTCTGATATTCACCTTTATGATGGAGTGTCTATTTGGTGGCCTGTATCCCCATTCATGGAAGAAAAAATGAATGGACATATTTCAGTACCAGTAAGGAGAAATGGCTAGATAATCAATGGCTGATATACATGATAAAATACACTGATCAAAATTATAAACACAACCCTTTTTTTTTTTTTCCTCATTTTTCATGAGCTGATCTCACAAAAGGCCTATTTCTCTCAAATATTGTTCACAAATCTGTCTAAATCTGTGTTAGTGAGCACTTCTCCTTTGCCGAGATAATCCATCAGGATCCCGACCTGACTGCAGTTCGTCGTCGTAACCAACTTGAGTGGGCAAATGCTCACATTCGTTGGCGTCTGGCACTTTGGAGAGGTGTTCTCTTCACAGATCAATCCAGGTATTCACTGTACAGGGCAGATAGCAGACAGTGTGTATGGAGTCGTGTGGGTGAGTGGTTTGCTGAGGTCAACGTTGTTGATCGAGTGGCCCATGATGGCAGTGGGGTTATAGTATGGGCAGGTGTATGTTATGGACAACGAACAAAGGTGCATTTTATTGATGGCATTTTGAATGCACAGAGATACCGTGACGACTATTGTTGTGCCATTTATCCACGACCATCACCTCATGTTGCAGCATGATAATGCACGGCCCCATGTTGCAAGGATCTGTACACAATTCCTGGAATTCCTGGAATTCTTGCATGACCAGCATACTCACCTGACATGTCACCCATTGAGCATTTTTGGGATGCTCTGGATCGGTGTATATGACAGCGTGTTCCAGGTCCTGCCAATATCCAGCAACTTTGCACAGCCATTGAAGAGGAGTGGACCAATAATCATGCTGTCTAATCAGCATCTTGCTATGCCACACCTGTGAGGTGGATGGATTATCTCGGCAAAGGAGAAGTGCTCACTAACACAGATTTAGACAGATTTGTGAACAATATTTGAGAGACATTGGCCTTTTGTGCACATAGAAAAAGTCTTAGATCTTTGAGTTCAGCTCATGAAAAATGGGGGCAAAAAAAAAGTGTTGTGTTTATAATTTTGGCCAGTGTAGCTACAATGTTCCCATCACAGTATCTAAGCACACATAGGGCAAAACATAATTTGGGAAATGTATGGATTTTGGATAGGGGACGTTTCTAGAAACATAGAAACATAGAATGTGACGGCAGATAAGAACCATTCGGCCCATCTAGTCTGCACAATTTTCTAAATACTTTCATTAGTCCCTGGCCTTATCTTATAGTTAGGATAGCCTTATGCCTATCCCACGCATGCTTAAACAAATTTACTGTGTTAACATCTACCACTTCAGCTGGAAGGCTATTCCATGCACCCACTACACTCTCAGTAAAGTAATACTTCCTGATATTATTTTTAAACCTTTGTCCCTCTAATTTAAGACTATGTCCTCTTGTTGTGGTAGTTTTTCTTCTTTTAAATATAGTCTCCTCCTTTACCGTATTGATTCCCTTTATGTATTTAAATGTTTCTATCATATCCCCCCTGTCTCGTCTTTCCTCCAAGCTATACATGTTAAGATCCTTTAACCTTTCCTGGTAAGTTTTATCTCGCAATCCATGAACCAGTTTAGTAGCCCTTCTCTGAACTCTCTCTAAGGTATCAATATCCTTCTAAAGATATGGTCTCCAGTACTGCGTACAATACTCCAAGTGAGGTCTCACCAGTGTTCTGTACAATGGCATGAGCACTTCCCTCTTTCTACTGCTAATACCTCTCCCTATACAACCAAGCATTCTGCTAGCATTTCCTGCTGCTCTATTACATTGTCTGCCAACCTTTAAGTCATCAGAAATAATCACCCCTAAATCCCTTTCTTCATATGTTGAGGTTAGGACTCTATCAAATATTCTGTACTCTGCCCTTGGGTGCAATGAGTGATATTTACTTTAATACAATGAGTCATGGCAATCCCTGGATTAGCGCTCAAACATACATTTAGTAGACAGATATGGAGCCTTTAATAACAGAAATGATTTTACATCCACATCAGTAAATCTTACTTGCAAACCTCAAGTCCATTAAGATATGCCGTGCTGACTTGTACCATACTGGCCAGGGCTGCTTTATCATAGCTGTCACAGATTGTATTAGCATCCGTAAAAGTCAGATTGTTTTCTGTTGTTATAACTACTTCATAGGAAGTATCTACAATAAATAAAGTAAATTAAATCAATTTCACTGCAAATATGGAATCTTGATCAAAGCGTTCTAAAAAGTTAAAAAAAAAAGCAATTGATTAAATATCAGACAGATTTAATAAATTGTGCAAAAAAAACTTTTGACACTTTAACAAATCTTCCATTTTTGCATATTAACCATCTGCCAATAAACAGCAATAATTTTTAGCTTTGCTCGAGGGCACCAATAAAAACGTATTATCTAGATATTTTTCCGAGATGATACTGTGACTGTACAGCCTGCTAAAGCACATAATGATCTGAAATGTAAATTTTTAGATATGTTGAACGAGATTCCTTTCCACATTCCTCTAGTCTACATTACAGTAACTGCCATATTATTACAATGCGTTGACATCCCGTAGGGTTCAAATGGAAATGTGTAAATATCAATAAAACATACACAGAAGTATTGCTGGGCATTCAAAGTGAATTTCAAGCTCTAGGCCAAAATTGTTGAATTAAAAATAAAAATTCCATTTCAATTCCATTTTCAGTTTGGCAAAAAAAGTGAGGCAAATAAGTACAATACAGTACAGTGAGGCAAAAAAGTATTTGACCCCCTGCCGATTTTAAATGTTTGCCCACTGACAAAGAAATGATCAGTCTATAATTTTAATGTATTTTAACAGTGAGAGACAGAATTTAAAAAAAAAAATTCTGAAAAACGCATGTCAAAAAAGTTATTAATTGGGGGGCGTGGCCAGGTGCCGGAGCTGAATGGACGCACACTCCTGAAGCTCCCGTGGGTTTAGGCACTTTGGAGCAAAATAAGCGACCTAACGAGCACTAACCATCACTCCTCGCTCCACCATGTCACAGAGGCTGAAGGGCAAGGCCGCCAAATCGGACCAGGAGTCCTTCTTTCTGGCGAGGACCGCCGAAACAAAAGCGCGGGACGGACGCGGCCTGATCAAAGATGGCACCGCGCGAGACTCACAAGAAGGCTCAGTGTCACCGCCAGCCTCACCATCCTCAGCGGCAGACGACGGACCCCTCACGATCGGCACCATGCGGCTTATGTTTGCAGAGCTCTCAGACAAGCTGCAGAATAGCATGAAAACCCAATTGCAAACCTTGGCAGCAGACCTCCACAAGGATATCACTGAGGTAGGCCAGCGCACCTCCCACTTAGAACATAAGATGGATGAATTTGCAGAGGCCCATAATAGCCTAGCTGACAGGGTGCAGGGCTTTGAGAACTCCCTCACTAGCTACCAACTTAAACTAGCAGATCTAGAAGACAGATCCAGGAGAAACAATATACGTATAAGGGGTATTCCAGAGACAGTTGCCCCAAAGGAATTGGAAAACTACCTGACGAATCTGTTCCAAGCCCTCACTCCCGCAATACACCCGGATCAGCTTATAGTGGATTGGGCACACAGGCTAAGACGCCCAAAGCACCTCCCTCCAACGACCGAGAGAGATGTCATTGCCAGAGTGCACTTCTATCACACCAAAGAGCAGCTGATGAAAGCCAGCAGGGCCTCAGGCTTGCCAGACCCCTACAGCCGAATCAAACTCTTTGCAGACTTATCTGCAGCGACGCTACAATTCAGGAAGAACCTAACCCCAGTTACAACCACACTGAGAGACCACAACATCGCTTACCGATGGGGTTACCCCGCCAAGCTCCTGATTCACTACAGAGATGCCCTACACGCCATTCCGACGCTGGAACTAGGAATCGCCAAGCTACAATCCTGGGGCCTCCAAATGCCTGAGGTGCACCGACATCTCCCTTCCAAGGTCCCAAGACTTTCCCCGGAGTGGACTGTGAACTGATACACGAGGGGAATGCCATCTCCTAGGACTGCGGTAAAATTTATGACCTCTTAAGTGGTCACCCACCTCCTTTCAGTGTATTACAATGCATATTTTGGTTTAAATGTTGTTCAGATGTTTGGTTATGAACTCAAGGGGGTGCCGACGCCCCTCCCCCCCCACAGTTCATGGGTAGCACTCTTCCATGAGTTCCATATATTGAATCTCCTGCCGGAGCAGATGAGACTCGGGGAGTACAGTGAGCTTACCCACCTCCCCCACACGGCCCGAAGCTTTAAAAGAGGTACAACCCCTCATGCCTACTACTCACCTTCCACCTTTAGCATGGCAACGCTCCTTGCCGCCACCACTGTGAGCCACCACCTCGAAGAGGACGCTCACCCCCACGACCCCAACTACATGCGCCCGAGCTCTTCTCGGGGCATTCTGGCTTCCTAGCTGGAAGCAAGATAGGGCTGGTTGCCCACGTGTTTGTCCCCCCCCCTAGTTACCCCCCTGTTTATCCCTTCCCACCCAAACATACTCGGGGCCACCAACGGGCCCCCCTCGAAACCCACCCTCCAGGAAAACTATACATCGCAGCCTCTACCAATACGCCTATTTGACCGTACTGTGCCCAGCACTGTTTTAGTAGCAAACATAGGTATTACTACCATCAGAGTACCTGCCCACAAAATACTTAAGTATGAAACTAGTCTCATATAATGTGAATGGCTTGAACTCCCCAGGCAAGCGCAGACTCCTTCTTAAGGACCTTACAACCAATGGTATAGACGTAGCTTGCATACAAGAGACCCATTTCAAGCGTAACCACTCCCCAGCTATCTTTACTAGACAATTCCCCATGCAAGTTCACTCTCTATCTGCCACAAAATCCAAGGGAGTATCGATCTTTATCCACAAAGATGTAGCCTACACTCCACAACGACAGTACATAGACCCAGAGGGGAGATATGTTATACTGGTTGGTCGTTTCAACGATGCACAACTGACGCTGGTGGCAGCGTACCTGCCCAACGACCGACCACGCCACTTTCTATCTTCCCTCCTGCGCAAAATCGAAGATTATAGGATAGGGGACCTGATACTCTGCGGAGACTTTAACTGCATCCAATCGCTAGGGCTAGACACTACTGCAACCCCCACGGGCGCAAACAAACGGAGACTAGACACATCATGTAAAGCACTCTCCAAACTCCTTGACCAATACGACTTATACGACGCCTGGAGGACCATGCACCCGACAGACAGGGATTACACTTTTCACTCCAGAGTCCACAATACATACACACGCATAGACACCTTTCTCCTACACAGGACACTACTGCCGCAACTCACGCAGTGCACCATAGGGGAAATATCCTGGTCAGACCACGGTCCCGTCTATCTAAACCTACTAGACACATTCCAATTTCGGGGCCGGGGGTCCTGGCGCCTAAATGACTCGCTGCTATCCAATGCACCCTTTGCGGAACACATAAGAGAAGAACTCCAAGCATACTTTGCGTTGAACGCGACAGGTGAGGTCTCAGACTACACGGTTTGGTCGGCGCATAAAGCAGTAGTACGGGGGCTTTTCTTGAGACGAGCCGCCTTCTTAAAGAAGCAAAATACGTCCGGCCTCCTTGATTGCCATAGGCAAATAGCTATAATCTCTAGGCAGAATAAAACTAAGCCCACCCCTGACCTAGCGAAACAGCTCAGAGTGCTCTACGCATGAATGCAAGAGCTGAATACAGAAAAAACCAAGCGCATGCTCCACAAACTGAGAGCCAATGTATACCACAATAGTGGGAAAGCCACTAAATACCTAGCTGCCAGGCTACGAAATAAATGCTCTAGCTCCAAGATAGCCCATGTGGTAGGAGGTGACGGACTAAAGAAGGTTACCCCCATGGATATTAGCCAAGAATTCGCTCATTTCTACTCTAAACTTTACAACCTAAAGGAGGAGGGCAGCACTCACAATGCTAGTTTAGACGACATAACCCAATTTTTAACCCAAGCCAACCTCCCCCAAATAACGAGCGCACAGGCAGAAGCACTAATCAGGCCCATTGAGCTCACAGAGGTGCTTGAAACGATCGCCAAATTGCCACAAGGGAAGTCACCAGGAGCAGATGGGCTCCCGAACGCCTACTATAAAAAATTTGCGCATGTCCTGGGCCCCCACCTGCTAAAAGTGTACCGTAGGGCAACTGCCACGGGCGCGCTCCCACCAGAGATGCTCCGGGCTACCATAGTGACCATCCCGAAACCCGATAAACCCCCGGACACCTGTAAAAACTACCGCCCAATATCGCTTCTAAACACAGATGCAAAGATCTATGCGAAGATCCTAACGAATAGACTAAATAGGGTCCTGACATCGCTTATTGGGGATGACCAGACAGGGTTCATACAAGGAAGATAGGGAACAGATAATACCAGGAAACTGTCGCTGATCCTGGATTACCTAAGGGGGACCAGAGGAGGCGGTCTATTACTGGCACTCGACGCCGAAAAAGCTTTTGACCGCCTAAGCTGGCCCTTTCTGCAACAAGCTTTGAGAGCCTATGGGTTCCCCCCCCAGTTTGAGTCACAAATCTTTGCTCTGTATGCGGGTCCGACAGCCCAGGTACTACAGGCAGGCTTTATGTCTGACCCGTTTCAGTTGTCCAATGGAACGAGGCAGGGGTGCCCCCTATCCCCCCTGCTGTACGTGCTGGCGTTAGAACCCCTCCTGCAAACCATCCGAAACCACCCCGACGTCAAATGGATCCAAATTAAAGGAACAGATTATAAAGTTAGCGCCTTCGCGGATGACATCCTCCTTTATGTCACCGATCCCATGACCACAATCCCTGTAATTATGCACATCATCAAGGAATATGGCCTATGCTCCTACTACGCACTGAACACCACAAAAACCCAAGCCCTGGGAATAGGCCTACCCCCCCAAGTGACGGAAACACTACGCATGACATACCCTTTTGAATGGAGGCGGGATAACATCAAATACCTATGCATTATGTTCTCCAGATGCCGCGCTGATCTGAGCGCAGCCAACTATATCAGGGTCTGGACAGAGTGCAAACAAACCCTGACAAAATGGGGATCCCTCTTCCTGACTTGGACTGAGAGAATAGTGGCGATTAAGATGTCCATACTCCCCAGGTTACAATACATTTTTCGGAACCTCCCATTACCAATGCCACAATCCTATTTTAAAGCGATACAGAGCGATATCACCAACTTCATCTGGAACAAGGGTAAACCCCGCATCTCAATGAAGCTCCTACGAGCCCCAGCTAGAACAGGAGGCTTAGCAGTCCCTGACGTGCGTACCTACTACCACGCATCCATATTAGCAGCAGCCATTCCCCATTTTGTTGACCAAAGCCCCCCGCAATGGGTCAGGCTTGAGAAGCTCATGATGACTCCGTATGACATCACCCATATACTATGGCTCCCGCAACAGCTTTGCCCCCCCTAAAAGATATCCCTCCCCAACTCGCCCTACTCATACGAGTCTGGGACACCCACAGACGTAAACTGACCTCCAGATGCCCTCTGTCTCCAGCCACACCGACAGCGGCTCTTACATACTGCATTCCCACCTTCTACGCTAAACCGTGGCAGGAGAAGGGGCTCCAGCACTTAGGCCAATTTCACGCTAACTCAAAGCTCCTAGACTTTCACACCCTACACTCACTCCACGGTGTCCCCCTGACATCTCAATTTTCCTACAGACAACTTCATTCTTTCCTGCACAAACAAGCTACACAGGTACCGCCCAGCCAAACAGCCACCGACCAACTTACAACATGGGAAAAAATGTGTATAAATAAAAAACTACCCCCACTATGTAAGCCAATCTCCACGTGTTACCAACTGCTACTAGACTTCACACCTCTCTCAGAGGCCACGCCAGCTAGACAATGGGCAGAAGATCTGGCCATTGAGCTCACTCACAAAGAGTGGAACACTATATCTACCACACCCAAAACCCTCCTTAAATCAGCACCGTTACTGGAACAGAACAAAAAAATGATTTACAGATGGTACATGGTCCCGGAGCGGCTTTCTAAAATGTACCCCGCCGCTTCATCCACCTGCTGGAGATGTCGGGAACACACCGGATCAGTTTTACATATCTGGTGGACGTGCTCACTGATAAAACCCTTTTGGGAAGCAGTGCACTCCTTCTTACAAGACCTCACGAAACTTAAACTGCCCCTTGACCCGCTCACGTACCTGCTACTGCACACTCCCCCCCACACCCCTAAGTACCTCCAAAAACTAATTTTCCACACAACACTAACGGCTCAACGCCTTATAGCGCGGGCCTGGAAATCTCCAACCACTCCTAAGATACAAAACGTACTCTCAGAAATAGCTGAGCAGAGGCTCTATGAGCGTTGCTTCACGAATATATGCCCACCCACCCGTACAGGGACGACAGCATGGGATGTGTGGGACGCGTGGAGATTGGCAAACCCTGAGTAAGGTGATTCATTCCTGTACCATAGCAACATGTATGCATTGTATTGACCCACTGTGTTCGCAAAGCAAAAGAGCATCGGATTAGGCTACGCATGGGGAAGTATACTCCAAGTTACACAGATCTCCCCAGCCCATGTGTGGGCGCATTGACTAGAATTACACTAAACAATTTTGTGCGGCTTACTTTTAACAACAATGTTATTAACACCACTGTCCAAACCATTACTGTTTTACCAAGCTACTATGCTACTACGCTATGTCGCCTTGTACCGAGTGACATATACTGTAACACGGAAACCCCCCCGCCCTCCTTCTTCTCTTCTGTACCCCCCCCCCCTGTTCTTATCAACAATAAAAATTGTCAAATTGAAAAAAAAAAAGATGAAGAATAGATGGCAACTGTTGTTTTATTATAGAAATATTATATATATACTTTTTAAATTTTTATTTTAGAGGCATGATAAGACACAGCTGCATCAGTCAAACATGTATCAATAGGTAGAAGGTATAAAGGTGCCAAAGCAGAACTGCACGTTTTTTTGTTTTTGTTTTTTTTATAAGTCAATTATGTAACCCTAGGAGACAGTGATAATACATAAACATATTACAATATTGTAAGTAATATACTGATGTGGCTTATGTGTGGTCTGAAGCAAAATTTAGATCCGAAAGTAATATATGCCAGATTTCAATATTAGACCATGTTCAGTACAAGAGGATATCCGAGGGTGGTTACAATGTGTGATTATAACGACATAAAGTGTATAGGAGAAGGTCATACAAAATTTGTGCATTCGTTAGAAGCTGTGGTGTTTATAAAATGAGCAAGGGCTACTCAAGAAGGGTGGTCACCCCTAACCAAGGCAGCATTGGCTGCCTTGGTTAGGGGTGACCACCCATTTGTTGTGGATTAGATTTGCGTGAGTTGCGAAACTGGGTTAAGACTGTATTACCCAAAGGAACTGCCAGTGTTAGGCGTCTCCCAATACCTGGCCTGCAGGGAACCATTGGGTGTAACATAGTGCTTGAAAACAAAAAGAAAATAACAGAAGCATAAAAAATAAACAACTTGAACCGCGCAGTCTCCTGCCGTTCTTTTGGGGTTGTAGTCATCTGCTTTTCCAGTCAGGGAACCGAGGCATTCTCCAATCCAGTTATTGGTACAAAGGGCACCGCGTGATTTGGGTCCCAGGTCTGGGAGATGTCAGGATAGCAGGTGTCAAGTCCGTGAGACCAAAGGCCGTGAGAAGTGTAGGTGCTTCTGCCCCTTAGGATATTCTATGAACAGTTCTATGGGAAAATATTGGGACATATAAAAAAAGACAACTCTGTTCTACAGAGTAGCTGTTGACATTATAGTTGCGCAGGAAATTTGTTGACTCTAGAGAACCTCGGGCAAATCGTACATCCCCGTGGCGGCGACTTTGCATGCGGATGTCATCCATATCAACTTTCGATGCCAGTTTCTGCGCCTACCATGGTGACCACAGGTAACTGGGAATCAGGGTTCCATTCCGTACAGGGACCCTGAGAAACGGCTACCACATGCAAGGAAGGCAGCAGGCGCTCAAATTACCCACTCCTGACGCGGGAAGGTAGTGTCCCTATAATTTTAATGAGTCCACTTGAAATTCTTTAACTCTGATCAATTGGAGGGAAGTCTGGTGCAGAACCACTGACCTGTGCGTTCTGCAGCTGAAACTCCACTATCGTCTGCTGCTGCTCGCACAGTCTCATGAGGCGGTGTGCGGGAAGGCCGAAGTTACGCTGCAGCGCAAACAGGCGAGCAGCAGCAGGATGACAATGCCAAAAGTGCGCACAGCTGCTACAGTGAATGTCACATCCTGTTCCAAGTTGCGGATCATTCTGGTGATGGCTTCTGGTATCCAGTACTCTTTTTACTGAAGCTGCATCAGGATCCTGGTATGTGGCCGCACAAACGCTGGTGCTCAACACCAGGGGACGTGCGGTTACCCTGCACCAGACCCTGCTAATCCATTCCACACTGTGCCAACTAACTTCAACATCAGGTATACTGGGTCCCGGTCATCCAACCGCCGCCCAGACAGTGTCTGGGTCGTGGTCACCGGACTGCTGACCTGACTGTGAAACTACAAATGGATTGTTATAACTGGTACGAACCCAAACTTTGCAGTTCGGGTTCGCTCAACTCTATTATGGATCCTTTGATCACTACATGTATTACTTGGATAACTGGTCATTCTCGAGCTAATACATGCCGACGAGGGCTAGGGGGCGGCCATTCCGCTTTTGCACCCTGCTCCCTCTAATGCCATGCTGGTGCCTCTGTGCGTCCAGCGCCTCTTCCTCCAAACTGCACACGTCACTCGCATGACCTTGGGGTCTAGGACCTCATCATCCTGCACATCATCTTCCACCCACACCTCAACCCTGCCCTCCTTGCCGGTATGCACACTGCAAAAAAAGCCACAGTAGTTGGCACCTGTGTTTTTCCAGTATGTAAAGTCTGCAAAGGACATATGGAAATTGTTTTAGAATTGTATCCAGGCAACAGTTTTCCCTATAAACTGACCTCTCAGTTTGACTTGTGAGGGTATTGCCCCAGAATTACAATATTGTTTTAGTACCTCTTAGCTATTGATGACTGGTTTAAATATAGCAGCTTGTTATCTGGTAGTTTCTAGTGTAGAAAATATCAATCTGTTTTCTATCACTTAGATCTGTGTAACAAGTGTTGTAGGTGTGAAACAATATTACAAGTGACTGATGTAGTGAATTTGAATCAAAGTTATGCTTCGATTTGACTCTCAGATATGAAGTGAACACCCCAAATATACTACTTAGCACCAAATAAATAAATAAAAATGTGACTTTTTAAAACTCCAATGTAAGCAGTAGATTAGCAGCAAAACATTTAGAATGTTTACAAGTGCGCAGTAAGCGCACTATTTGACACTTCTATTTGACTCTCAGATATGAAGAACAGGTCCCAAAATGTAGTATTTAGCAGATTAGCAGCAAAACAATTAGAATGTTTACAAGTGCGCAGTAAGCACACTATTAGACGCTTCTATTTGACTCTATTTGACGCTTCTATTTGACTAATGTACGTTTTAGCACCCAAAAAATGTTAAGTTTTAAAACTCAATGTGACAGCAGTATTTGACGCTTCTATTTGACTCTCAGATATGAAGGGCACCCCACTAATGTACTACCCCACTAATGTACTATAACTCCGATATAAACGCGGTATTTGAAGCTTCTATTTGACTCTCAGATATGAAGTGCACCCCACCCCACTAATGTACTACTTTGCAGAATTCTTCAGCGGCAGCATCCTCTCCATACACTATTAAGACCGCATGTGCTTGCGGCGCTAAGCGACTCCAGCTTATATATAGAGGCTGAGTCACATGCTGCACTGGCTAGTCACAACCATGCCATTAGTAGGCATGGCTGTGATGGCTTATAAGGGCACACGAGTCAAACGCTTGTTGATTGGCTGCCCTGCAGCCTTTGAAAACGCGCCATTAAATCGCCGAACACTGAACTCCAACCCAAACAGTCATATGTCCGTGTTAGGGTCCGGGGTCCAAAAAACCCTATGTCTTGCCATTACCTAAAAATGGTAATAAAAGGATTTTAAAGGTAGATTTAAAAGAGAGATGCTAAACTAACTGCCTCATTTCTCTAGCACCGTATTTGTTAAACTGTAACTAATTTGTATTTAAATAAGTAGCTAAATACAAATGGCATGGGAGGAATCCTGATTTCGCTAAGCACAGTGCAGTATCCCTCAGATTATGATGTTTTAGATATACTGCCCTTCATAGCGAAACATAGCTGTATAATCTTGTGAATATCTAACCAGTCAGACCGCTCCTGTATATTTTGTGGAAAACATCCTAGAACCATTTCTACAACACTAAAAAAAATTGTATTGATAGACTGCCCAGAGAGTACATTAGCCCATACCAAATACATTCCATGCCCCTCTCCCCCCACCCACCCCAAAAAAACCAAACACATCACATCAGTCCTATATTTCTGGTGAAGATACCAGTGAGCATGGAAATGCAAATTGGGCCTCTTTTGTTTCTTTTATTTTTATATACAATGTGATTTGTTATTTGTGTTTTTTTGTTTTTTTTTGAGTGGAGTGTCTGTTTGGTATGAGATAGCATGCTCAGATTTCTGTATTAGATGTTAAAGCCAACAAATATTACAAAAATACTTGAACCTAACATTTGGAGTATATCCTTCTGTAGCTTTGATTCAAAGAGTGCTGAAGAAAATCTAAAAGATGCAGCCAAAATCTTGTTGGGATGAGTGAGCATCCATATTTTCCCTTTGTTATACTAATACATGGTGTGCATATGAAATGTCAGTATATTTTGACTTTTTAACACATGCTTGAGCATATAAACAATCACCTGATCGGTGTAGACTAATGGAACGGTTCAAGGGAAACTTTATTGTGGAGAGTTATTTCCACACTTTACAATAAAGATGGGGAATTATCCTCCATGAATATTAGGAACATTTAAGAGTCCATTTAATTAAATGTAGACAATATTTTAAATTGTTTTAATCTGTAAATAATACCATAGCTTCAGAAAAATCATTTTTACACTATTAAATTACACTTAGAAGCCCCTTGAAAGGGCAAAACAATGTGCCTTTGCTAGCCAGTGTTATAGATGGGCACTGTAATATTGTCCAGCTCTATCAATGCGCTATTATACAGTGATTTTATATAATTTGTTTGCAATAAGCTGCATATTTATTATATTTCTCCACTTTTAACCACTTACAGCATTTGAAGCCACAAGATTCTATAATGCCAGTGAGAGCAGTCCATTGTCTCGGGAACTTTGTGATGGGACCACATGCAATGAGGTGGAGAGCTCAACTAGCCACTGGACAGGTAGGACTGGCACACTGAAAACCCTTATAAAATTTGTCTTCTCAAAGTTCTATCCCCACCTCTTTCATGCTCCTTACATGATGTATCACTTAATACTCTGTGTATAAGGAGGGCAAACATGCAATTTCTTCTATTTAATTTGTTTGTGGATCCGTAACATCTCCAAGGAGTTATAGACTTTCACTGCCTTTACAGGCTATGCCCCTTCTGGCTCTTGCAATGGAGCATTTTCTTGCCGTGAAGAGAATCACTTTGAGCGCTGTATGTGCTACAGAGATTGTGGATATGATGGAGACCCTGTGTGTGGCTCTGATGGAGTCATCTATCAAAACCAGTGTCAGATGGAGGTTACAGCCTGCAGGAATAACACCAGGATCGAGCAAGTGGCTATGACTCAGTGCACCATGGGTAAGAGAAATATCATTGGAAAAGGAGGCTTTAAGCTATATACTTTCATTTAAACTGGTGTCTCAAATTCAGAGAGCTGTATTTTTCCTGCAAAACATAATATGCTATTCTTATGTGTTTTATATGTAGAAGAGAATATATCTGAAGAAGAGTCGGACATTGCAACAGTCAAAGAACAAGAACCACCTCAGGAGACAACAGGTATTTTTCTTGTATCTTGCTAGGCTAATGTGTGTCTACGGTTCTAGCAAATTAAGACTTTGAATTGACTTATATAGACCTGTCTAGTTAAAGGACCACTCTAGGCACCCAGACCACTTCAGCTTAATGAAGTGGTCTGGGTGCCTGGTCCAGCTAGGGTTAACCCATTTTTTTATAAACATAGCAGTTTCACAGAAACTGCTATGTTTATAAATGGGTTAAGCCTTCCTCCAAAGCCTCTAGCGGCTGTCTCAGCGACCAGCTGAATGCGCGCGCAGCCAGCCGCATGGGCGGAGAGGAGGAGGATCGGAGGAGGATCGGAGGAGGAGAGCTCCCCGCCCAGCGCTGGAAAAAGGTAAGTTTTACCCCTTTCCCCTTTCCAGAGCCGGGCGGGAGGGGGTCCCTGAGGGTGGGGGCACCCTCAGGGCACTATAGTGCCAGGAAAACAAGTATGTTTTCCTGGCACTATAGTGGTCCTTTAAGTAATGAACTCTGACTCATATCACTGCAATTATATGCTTTTCATCAAACAACGAATGTTGTCACGACCATCATTATTTGAAGTTTGCTATATTTTCAAGGTTGCCTTGGCCAGTGCCAAGTGAGTGTATGTTACTGGGGCACATTGTGTATTGAGTACTCCAAATCAGAATTTGCTAATTTTACAAAGTTTTCATGATAATCATTGCTAAGTATTACTAAAAGACACAGGTTGCCATCCAAGACAAGGTAAATGAGAGGTAGCTCCAACACCGATCGACATTTAATATGGGGCAACAGGAGCTAGAATATACATTAGATACAGGAATGTGTATTGTATGAATGCATTATGTAGAGTTTTAGTAGGAGATACTGTTGATACTTGTCCCGTAACAGTAGTATGTACTTCTATCAGATAAAATCTCCAATGGTTTTGTCGTTTCTTTTAGAAGAGGAAGTGCCTGTTCACCAGTCCGAGGTTTCTTACTATTCCTATGAGTATGATGTGGATCCCTACACTAGTGATAATGAAGATGGCCTGGAGATAGGTACTGAGCTAACAACAGCTGCAAGCTCAGTAGAGGAAGCAGTAAAACTCAATACATCAGCCACCATTGAATGGTAACCATCCTTCAATAGCTATGTACATTGAAGACATGGATGTTCAGTAATGAGACCTGCTTTGTTCATGTAAGATCGGTATGGGATCCCCTTGGTATCCACTCTTTATTTTACTTTTTTGATCCTTTCTTTTCATCAGAAGAACACAAAGTGGCTATTAGAATGCAGATACTTTTCCCCTTGGCCAATCTAATATAAAGGACATGGAACAATTTCACCTTATATGTCCTGACTACAGAAGACAAAAAAAAAGAACTGACTTAATGGTTTTCCGATTTTCAGGTGAAAACTAATGATTCTTTATTCTTCATAATTTGTTTTAATGTTTTAAACCATATAAGAGTTAGAATAAAAAGATTGAGTGTGTGGTTTTGGTGCATATTAAAAATAGAAGTCATGACAACTTCCTTAAATGCTTTCAGTTCCCAATCTTCAGTTCACAGACCTTATCATCTATTCATAAGATGCTGTTTTATAAACTCTCAAGTATGTAACCAAAATTCTTCTTCTTGATACTTAATGCTAAGCGAACGGTCCATACCTTAATGCAAACATCTTTAAAATTGCATTTGATTGCTCTTTTCATCTGGGTGTAGGAGGACATTTTTGTAATGCAATAAGTTAGAGAAGGACGTGCTTATATGTTTGTGAATGCCATGGAGTAAGACTTATATGGGAAATGTTAAGTTGTAGCAATTATTCCACTGAAAAAAAGGTCAAATTCTGGCTCATGGGTGAGAATTAATATATTTGTTTCATATTTGTTTCCCTGTGTTAATGTTATTATGCTGGTAAAGTTTGTTTTAACACTGTTATATTTTTTGAGATTTGGATATAACCACATCATTCATTTTCATGGTAAAACAGTGTTACTGTTTATTAGTGAACATGTCCTTTTAGGGCATAATATCAATAGAATATAGTGTTTCTGCTCATATAAATACATTTTTAAGCTTTGTTGGAATCACACAGAAACCAGTTGTAAAGTGCAATAAGTATGTTGCATTTACATAGTTTCTATGTCCCGTGTTCTTCCAACAAACTAAATAAATTAATAGAATAAAATGTATTGTGATGTATCCAAGTATGCATATTTAAGCTCAGACATATTTGTACCAAACACCAAGTACAAACAACTCCAACATCACTTGTATTAAATGTATACTTTATGTGACACTTTAACCAAACAGAATAGTGTATTTTTGTAGTATGATTCATTAAAGCTGTAAGTTTCCCCCCCAACTCATAATCATTTAATTTATTCTCAAATTAAGAGTCTGTGCAGATGGGGCAACAAGAGCTTCCACTTTGCTCAGATCAGGCTCCTAGCAGCTTCAGTGACTAAGTCATCAGGATGTGTATTCTCTTGGCTAATCTTATGCCACCATGGAGAAATCACGCAGCCAGTATGCTTTGCTGTGAGATTATGCTTGGGAATCCCACCTTCCTTTCTCCGTTTATAAGGTTGCAAAACACACATGAAATGTTTAATTTCATTAAATTAGAATGCTTTTTTAAAATGCTTTTTTTTTCACCTTTTTTTGTCTTACATCATTAGCCATGCTTGTAATCATTGTTGTGGTTGATGTATCCACTTGATAGGTTTGATGGTGAGCAATTGTATAGGCTCCAGGTATTTGAATTTTCCTACCCCAGAGATAGCTGTTTTGTAATATTCTGTTTATTAGTTTGTAGGATTGACAAAACACAACAGAGAACAGAGTAGTGGAGGAGCTTAACATTTTAATGTTTCTCTACATCCATGTCTTCCACAAAATGTCCTAAAAGGCAGGGATCCAAACATGTTATACATGGACATCCTTTTTATATGCCAGTAGTTACAATACAGTCGGTTATGTTTCACCATAAAATTCAATGTCTAGAAACACACTGGACATTACAGCCCAAGCAATATACATATTAACAAGAGAAATTAAATAAAGTGCTTAAATAATGTTTATTACAAATTCTCTTCTTTAGTTCAAAATGGCCTCCTGACTTTTATTTCTTTCCAACTTTGATTTGTTAGATTGTCATTATTCACTTATCCTACTCTTCTCTTTCTTGACAAGTCGAGAGCCACCTGGAGTGAACCTGTATCATAGAGCAAATCATCGTTTGCCCTTTTCTGATGCTCTATTTAATGCACAAGACTCTCTGTATCTGAAATGTAATGTATAAAACAAAGTCATATATATATATTTTCTACTGTCCTTTCAAGCACATGTATATAAGTGAAAATTTAAACAGAAAACCTATTGTGTTTTATTTTCTTGCCAAAGGTTAACTAAAAGTAGATGCTTTTCTTTGTTGGTTTTCTTAGATCTTAGGTAAATTCTACTTCTGTGGGGTGGGCAAGAGAAATGGCATTAACACACCTTTGATCTTAATATTATTTTTAAAGCTTCTATACACTGAAAAAAAAATCTAGAACCTTACTGCTATTGGCTATTTGCTACTCTTGGTATGTCTCAAGTTGGCTATTAGAGCGGTGGGTTTAATCCTAAATGTTAGTGAAAGTGTTGTTATTTTTGCTGATTTAATTTTATAAGCTTGTACCAAGGTTTTATGCTAGGTATGTATATTATATGGATGTAATTTTGTATCTGGTAAGCTCAGAGTTAATGATACTCGATTAACAATTTTGTTAAAACTGAAATAAACAGTGGTTAAAAATCCTATGCTTCTGCATTTTTTTTTTGTTGTGTCTTATTTTCTCAGTCTGGCATTGTCTGTGATTATATGCATTTTGGATGGTTTACCATAAACCTATGTTACTATATATGTTACAAAGTTGGGATCTCATTCTCCTAGTCTCTGACAGTTTTTTCATTGCTGAGGAATTATCTGAGACACTCCACATTCAGTCAGCCTGTGGCCAGATCTACCCTCATCACTGAAGTTCCATGATGCAACAGCAAAGTGCTGGAGCTATAGTAATGACAAGGCTCGCCCAGAGTGCAAGAACCTCTATACTCCCCCTAGCCAACCTTCATGGCCTCCCTGGAACAACATGCATAAACGTGATTGGTGAGTGTTTAATGTATGGACATGCAAAGAGCTGCCATCATTTTACATATAGGCAACTAGTGCTGATGTTTTAGAGTGTCACATCATCACTCTACAGTTACATGCCTTGCTGGAATGTCACACATTAACTTGCAAATGCAGCCTACTCCCTGAATTCCTTGTTAACCGTTAAACAAGGGTCTCAAGTTAACTGTAAAGGATAGAAGAATTTTAGAACCAGGGCTTCTCAGGAGCTCATTCTGGGCCCCAGCAAGGAGCAGAGCACCCACACAGACAAACCCTTATCCAACACTTACCTTGATACCCTAGGTGCTTTCTGTCTGTCTCAGATTACTTCTGCAGAAGTTCAAGCTGCTGGGCAAAGATTTGTGATCCTCACCAAATACTCTTAATCAGTAATACAAACTTCAACTATTCTTCAAATCACAGCTTGTGTTAAAGGGACACTAAGCACACAGATCATTTAATCTCAATTAAGTGGTTTTGGTGCAGTGACCATGCCGTTTCCCTCCTACAGTATCAACTATTGCCATTTCGGAGATACAGCAAAGTTTACATGGCAGGGCTTAACACGCCTCCGGTGGCTGTCACGCTGGCACTTGATGGTGCTTCCGCGTTCCGACCCAAGTTTTTTATGTGATGCTCTGTTTTCTTTTAAATGTATATTAATGATTTTGTAGTGTACAATCTAGTTTAGTTTAGTCCAGGCACAGCAAAGTATGTTCATTGACATAAAAAGTCAGAAATTAAAACAATAATTGCCAGGAAGCTAAAATGCGTGCACACAGTCCCAAGATATAGTGGGATAAATTTATACAGTCCAGTTTTTTTACTTGCCTAATCTACATGTAAGGGAAAAGTAAATATAAATTATAAAATGGGGAAGTGCGTTTTAAATAGCAGCAATTTCCCTTCTGCATGCTTTTTCTGTTATCAATTGGCAGTCTCATCTTGGTAACCTGCACTTCTTCCCAGCTATGGTGCAGCCTAAAGTTAATAGTATGACAGAGGTCATATAGTAGTAGTTTATCTGTAATGAACTTTTGTCTGAGTCCTTTTGGGGTTTTTATAACTTATATAATAGATGACGTGCAATGATAAATGATAATATATAAACCCATCTTTCTATGTGAGTTTTGTTATAGAAGCTGTCCAGGTCTTTGACTACACTCTGTTTTGGTTGGTATGTTATGTGGCTGCGTTGCCTTGGATGTTTTATGTTACCTTAATTACTTATGTTTGTATGCTGGATTTTTCTGACTGCTCTCATACCTTTGCAAAAGGGACAATTTAGAATGGATCTGGAAATCGTTATAGGTTGTGCATAACATGGTAAGCCCTACATGACTAAGAACTATGCAAGTATACATTGTTTTTGTGCTCTTATAAAGAACATCTTGAAATGTTCACAAATATTTGTAGTATTGTTGTAATCATTTAACATTACCCACTTAATGGTATAATTGAATGGTATAAGGTGTTTTTTGTTTTTATTGCAGATGACCTACAACTCTTTGTATGAATACGGGTGGATGATACCCCAGGCATGGGGTTCAAAATGATATAGTGGGATCGGCAATTTGCTAAAACCATATAAATACCAAACTCACAATGCTCTATCACTATGGAGTGGACGGTGGTGAATTAAATGAATGTCAAAATTGAGTCCAAAATAGTTGAATTGGAAAGAATTCTCCAATTCAACTACTTGGTCTAACTTTTGAAATCACTACTTGTATATGTGTGTAGATAGCAGGAAGGTATTTTCATGGATACATATATGTATTTACATGTGTGCATAGTTGCGGCCAATGCACGTGTGTGCATGTTTGTGTCTAGTGTTGTATCAAAAGAAGCTGCTTGTGCCAGGAGCACACCTATTCTTTTTTTTATAAATTCTTTATTTTCGGTTTTGCATACGTATTGTTACTAACAATTAGACAACATGTTGGTACATCGTTTACAGTAGTTCTCGTAACAATTTCGCTTCATTGTCCGTGGATTTAGTAGTGCGGGCTACTAGTTGAGTGCGGCTCTGGGTGTATCTCGTGTCCAACATGTATGTAGGAGCACACCTATTCTAAACTCCCTACTGGGATTGTCTCTAAAACAAGTCATTGAGGAGCCAACTCGTAAAGAGGCCATACTAGATTTAGTGTAACAAATGGATATTTGATATCAGATATTACTGTAGGTGAAAGTTTAGGATCCAGTGATCATCAGTCAGTGTGGTTTAATGTAAGAACAGTGACTGAGTCACACCACACAAAAACAAAAGTTTTAGACTTTAGAAAAACAGACTTTTCTAAAATTAGAATATGTGTAAAGGAGTCATTATCAAACTGGGAGCAATTTAAACGGAGTCCAAGAGAAATAGGATTATTTAAATGTTGCACTGCTGAAGGCAACAGAAAATTGCATTAGGCTTCTCAGTAAAAGCAAAAAATGTAAGAAACCACTGTGGTACTCCGCAGATGTGGCTAAAATAGTAAAAAAACTAAAAGTTAGCATTTAGTAATTATATTTTAAAAAAAAAAACAGAGTGAGGAAGATAGACAGATCTATAAGATTAGGCAGAAAGGGGCTGAGCAAGTTATAAGAGCTTTGAAATCACACACAGAAGAGAAAATAGCACAGTCACTAAAAGAAGGGGACAAAATATTTTTAGATACATAAATGAGAAAAGGAAAGTAAAACAAACAATATTGATATTGTTATATCACTTCATATATTAAATTTCAAATAATTACAATTAAGTATCTTGGAAGAAGGTGATCTATTCCTACAGGTGATACTGGAAAAATTAGAATATCGTGCAAAAGTTCATTTATTTCAGTAATGCAACGTAGAAGGGGAAACTAATATATGAGATAATAGGAAAGGGCTGAGACAGGATCTGCAAAGAAGCAGACCCGAAGTCAGTCATACTACCCTAATTTATTATCGTAGGAGTAGAATGTAGGCTTAAAGTGCCCTAATTCTAAAGTCACGAAGAAACTATAAAATAAAATAAATAAATAACTTTATTTCTAAATAAGGTACACACATATAAAACACAACACCAAAGTGAAAAATAAGTGAGAAAAAAATAGTAAATAAAAAAACTACCTAATAAAATAGGACCAACTCCTAAAGCTAAATAGTACAGGTTGTACAAATCCTGTTACAAAATAGCCAGTAGGGGGTACTGTTCTGTATTAAACTTAGAAACAGTATCCTCAGGAGGGACTTTGTTATATCCTGCGAGTTGATACACTCAGGCAGAATGGGTAGCCCAAGGTAGATAACAGACTCATGATAAACAATGCCTGAATTGCTCTAGATATGGGATGTAGGTAAGAGAGAATACTTGGGGAAGTCCAAAGTATACCCCAGACAAACTATTATAGAGGTCGTGAAGATAACAATGGAAAGATTGCAATAGGTCCCCTGGGGTATACTTTGGACTTCCAAGTATTCTCTCTTACCTACATTCCATATCTAGAGCAATTCAGGCATTGTTTATGGAGGGTCCCTCCTTATGGAGTCTGTTAACTACCTTAGGCTACCCATACTTTTACACCAATTGGTTCTTTGTACTAATAGGGTCTGCCTGAGTGTATCAACTCGCAGGATATAACAAAGTCCCTCCTGAGGATACTGTTTCTAAGTTTAATACAGAACAGTACCCCTTTCCTGGCTATTTTGTAACAGGATTTGTACAACCTGTACTATTTAGCTTTAGGAGTTGGTCCTATTTTATTAGGTATTTTTTTGATATACTATTTTTTTTTTCTCACTTATTTCTCACTTTGGTGTTGTGTTTTAGATGTGTGTACCTTATTTAGAAATAAAGTTATTTATTTTATTTTATAGTTCTTTCGTGACTTTAGAATTAGGGCACTTTACGCCTAGATTTTACTCCTATGATAATAAATTAGGGTAGTAGGACTTACTTCGGGTCTGCTTCTTTCCTGTCTCAGCCCTTTCCTATCATCTTCTCCCTGGGTTATGCCCGTTTCTATCCTACAACCATTGCAACTTCGGTGAGAGTTCTTCTCTCTCCAACGTTGTAAAGCAAGATAGTTTAAGCCGTGATTTGTCATAAGTGTGATGATTATGGCTTACAGCTCATGAAAACCCCAAATATTACATGCAATCAATAAAACAAGCAGTGTACATAGAACAATATCGGACCTCTGAAAAGTATAAGCATGCATATGGACTCAGTACTTGGTTTGGGCCCCTTTTGCAGGAGGGAAGCTATCAGCCTGTGGCACCGCTGAGGTGTTATGGTAGACCAGGATGCTTCAATAGCGGCCTTCAGCTCTTCTGCATTGTTCGGTCTCATGTCTCTCATCTTTCTCTTGGCAATGCCCCATAGATTCTCTATGGGGTTCAGGTCAGGCAAGTTTGCTGGCCAATCAAGCACAGTAATCCCACAGTCATTGAACCAGGCGTTGGTGCTTTTGGCAGTGTGGGCAGGTGCCAAGTCAAGAAAATTAAGTCAGCATCCCCATAAAGCTCGTCTGCGGAAGGCAGCATGAAGTGCTCCAAAATATCCTGGTAGACTGCTGCGTTGACCCTGGACTTAATGAAGCACAGTGGACCAACACCAGCAGATGACATGGCTCCCCAAATCAACACAGACAGTGGAAACTTCACACTGGACTTCAAGCATCTTGAAGTGTGTGCCTCTCCATTCTTCCTCCAGACTCTGGGTCCTTGGTTTCCAAATGAGATGCAAAAGTTGCTCTCATCAGAAAAGAGGACTTTGGACCACTGAACAACAGACCAAGTCTGTTTTTCTTTAGCCCAGGTAAGATGCTTCTGACGTTGTTTGTTGTTCAGGAGCGGCTTGACAAGAGTAATACGACATCTGAAGCCCATGTCCAGGATCCGTCTGTGTGTGGTGGCTCTTGATGCACTGACTACAGCCTCAGTCCACTCCTTGTGAAAGTCCCCAACACATTTGAATGGCCTTTTCCTGACAATCCTCTCCAGGCTGTGGTCATCCCTGCTGCTTGTGCACCTTTTTCTTCCACACTTTTTCCTTCCACATAACTTTCTATTAATGTGCTTTGATACAGCACTTTGGGAACATCCAACTTCCTTCGCAATTACCTTTTGAGGCTTTCCCTCCTTATGGAGGGTGTCAATGAAGGCTTTCTGCACAACTGTCAGGTAAGCAGTCTTACCCATGATTGTGATTCCTACTGAACCAGACTGAGAGACCATTTAAAGGCTCAGAAACCCTTTGCAGGTGTTATGGCTTACTTAGCTGATTAGAGTGGGACACTGTGAGCCTAGAATATTGCACCTTTTTACAATTTTCTAATTTACCGAGGTTGTGGATTTTGGGTTTTCATGAGCTGTAAGCCATAATCATCGCACTTATGACAAACCATGGCTTGAACTATCTTACTTTGCATGTAATGCGTCTATCTCATATATTAGTTTCCCCTTTTACGTTGCATTACTGAAATAAGTGAACTTTTGCACGATATTCTAATTTTTCGAGTATCACCTGTATAGAAATCCAAAAAAGGTTTAGCCTGGAAGCCACTAAACAGTCATATTTACCATCTGCTGTCTTCCAGAATGTCTAGATAAGTACAACATGAAATGAAGTCTTCAAGATCTCATAAATGGTTAAAGAAAAACTCATCTCAATGTTATCCACCAAAGTAAGAACCAAAAAAGAAAAAATAGAAAAACTGAACTCTAGAACAATATAGCAGAACCGGAGGCATAAAGACTTGTTTCCTATTCAAATATGAAAATCACCCTTAATTCCCAACAATTCTCACTTCAGTGAACATTCCTTACACACAATAATTCCAAGACACCAGACAAGATACATAAACACATACATTCCTCTGAATTGATCATTTCTTATGTATTTGAGGGCTTGGTCATTGGTTCATATTCCACTTCCAGTAAATCAGAATATGAGACATGATAAAAAGGCAGAGCCTATAATCACATTCTGTATATTCCTGATTCCTGATATACATCTGTCACCTAAAACGAGCCAATAGTTAAGAAAGTTAATTCAATGGAAAAATAACAAACAAATTGAGACCTTATGAATTTAAAGGAGCAGACTCTTGCCTGAGGCTTGAACTGGTACCCTTAAAGCACTATTCAGCAGTTTTAAATAAAATTCATCTCTCTTTACACTGGACATTGGATCTAAGATACTTGAATGTCAAATTTCAAAATATCTAGAACCCAGTATTTTATTCTGATTCACTAAGTAAATGTAGATCTGTAATGAGCAGATGATCCATGCAAATAGTAAATATGCAAAACAAGTGGAAACCAAGCTATAACAGCACAGTACTGCAATTAGCTCAATGATACTGGAAGCCAATAAAATCAGATCTTTGCAGTGGGCAGAGTATCATTCTAATAGTAAGAAGAATAAGATCATAGCGAAAATAGTGCATTCAGAATGACTAGATCATGTCCAATATATTTAAGTAATATACAGAGTTGTAAGCCATCATGGTGACATACTAGACCCAGTATTCCTATAGATATAAAGTCGTTGTTATGCGATAAACTATTCCAGAATACAACCCAAACTTGTACTGTGATATAGTGATGAAAAATCAACAGTATAGGCAGGATTTATGTGAATACCTAAACATTTTAATATGAAACTAATCAGGGGTAGGCAAGCAATTGCACTCCAGATTGTTTTGGACAACATATCCCTTGATACCAGAAATATGGCTCTAAGAGCGTTATGGGGGATGTAGTCCATAACATCTGGAGTGTCAAAGGTTGCCTACTCATGATATATGTCATCTGCAATGAAAAGGACATAAGTTAAAATACATGTAATGAGACATAACAAATCTGAAAATAGTCTGCACTATGAGTATTTCAAAATTATCTTTATAGAAGTTAGACCCCTGTACACGTATGCAGACCTTATCATAATATAGTCATGTAGGACTTACCTTACCATTTCCAGGTCCTGTCTTATCTGCACAGGAGTCAAAAAATTTCAGCATGCAAAAGGAAGAAATTAGCAAGACGTATAAGGTTCTAGGCATTCAGCCATATGAAACATCAAACAAAAGACCAGTAGGCAACACAGAGCTGTAACTCATTGTACACCTGGACATAAAACCTCTAACAGTTCCCACAAACATGTATATGTTACCATTGACCCCATTGTAAGACATCTACTGTATAATCTGTCATTGACTCACCTATAAAAAGCCCAAGATTATGATAAGACCTTTGAACACTCTTTCAATAGTACTCTATAGCAATGGTGTTCAACCTTTCCCGGGCCACATTGAGGAGGAATTGTCTTGGGCAGCGCACAATTCTTAATTGTAATATTTCATTTGTTTAGTAGATAACTCCCTTATGTGTTATCCTTATGTGGCATTGCCATATTTAAGGATACCAAATTAGAGAGCTACATACATATGTATATACATATACATACACGGTACACAATTGCAGAAGCAGAAAAGCACTCAAACAGTCACAGTCTAGGGAACATAAGGTACCATGACACCTATACACACAATCACAAATGCAATCACACATATACACACACAATCACAGACCAACACACACACATAGAATCACACACCTATACACACAATCACATATACACACACACAAGTCAACAGTGCTACCATCAGCTCCACTACGCAGGCTCGCTGCCTAGGTGTTCTCTTTGACTCTGACCTCTCCTTCATGCCTCATGTTCAGTCTATCGCCAAATCCTGTCATTTCCATCTCAAAAACATTGCGCGCATCCGACACTACTTAGCGCCAGATGCGACTAAGGTGCTGGTCCATTCCACTGTCTTTTCTCGCTTTGACTACTGTAATCTGCTTCTCAGTAGTCTTACGTGCTCCCAACTTGGGCCGTTACAGTCCATAATGAATGTGGCGGCGAGGCTCATCTTCCTTTCTGCCCGCACCTCCCACGCCTCACCCTTCTGTCAGTCCCTACATTGGCTTCCTGTAAGATATAAAATTCTGTCTCTTGCTTTCAAATCTCTACATAATGCTGCTCCCCCGTATCTATCCTCCCTAATACACAAGTATGTCCCATCTAGGCCCTTACGATCTGCTGAAGACTTACGTCTATCTTCTGTCTATACTCCAACCTCTGATGCTTGCCTTCAAGACTTCTCCAGAGCTGCACCGTTCCTGTGGAACTTGCTTCCCAACTCCATTAGACGCTCACCCAGTCTCCACTCCTTAAAAAAATTATTAAAAACCCACTTCTTCATAAAAGCGTATCAATTAAACTGTTAATAGCTCCCGACTGATTCCTTTCTTGCAACTGTCACTAGTCTAATACTATCCTTACCTTTTGTGTCTCTTTACCCCACTCCCTCTAGCATGTAAGCTCATTGAGCAGGGCCCTCAACCCTTCTGTTCCTGTGCGTCCAACTTGTCTGGTTACAACTGCATGTCTGTTCGTCCACCCACTGTAAAGCGCTACGGAATATGTTGGCGCTATATAAATAATAACATAATAATACCATAATCAGATATACACATACATACACCAATAGTTTGTTGTGATGGTTTTCCTTGCTTCACATCCTGCACAGAAGCAGAGCAGACTATAGAGACTGTCAGTTTTCAAACACTGTCTGACCCAAGGTACGTGTATATGGCTCAAGAATCATTGCATATACTAAAGGTATTTATATGTTTTTCTCATTTTCTTTACATATACTTCATTTAAAAGGATTATTTTATCCTTAAAAAGTAAGATTTACTTTGACTCTATTACTTCATATAGGAAAAAAGAATATATATGTTATCCCTTTGGAAATTCGAATCTACCTAGAGCACTACTACTCACTGTTTAGCTATACCCCTAATGAAAACATGCATGCATTTAATTATGCATTTTTTTATTAGCGGTTATATCTAAAAACAGCTTGCAAAAGCTGCACATCTGTTGTCTGCAGTCTTTGCCAGCTCTCCTGTTTTTTCCAATCACAGGCTTACCAGTGCAAATCAAAGAAAAGTCATTAGGCTTTGAGCAATTGCCTGCCCTCTTGAGTTTAACACCACTGAGCTAAACAACCAAGAAGTAACAGGACCGGTTGTCTGATTAACAACCAAGGTAGTGTAACAAGATTAAACCTAAGAGTAGTGTGTAAAAAAACTAAAAGATAATGTTTCTTTTTTTTTTTTTAAATGGGCCTTTATATGGGCCTGGCCCTGGAGCTGCAGCTCCATTAGCCCCTATGTTAATCCGGCCCTGGTTGTGCTGGCCTTAGCTTAGTACCTCAGCGGGCCAACAAAAGCTAGCGCTGTTTGCGGATGATATTCTGCTGTTCCTAACTCAACCAGACAAATCAATACCAGCCCTGCTAACACAATATGGAACCATATCCTACTACAAAAACAACACTAATTAAACTCTGGTGCTCCCAATCGGCCTACCTGAAAATGTCAGACAAGCGCTGTGCACCACACACCCCTTTGACTGGAGAAAAACGTCCCTGAAATACCTAGAGAACCTGACCAACTCATACTCTAAACTTACACAGGAGAACCATCTCCCTCTCACCCATAAACTGCAAACACAATTAGATCAATGGCAAGACTTAGAAATCTCTTGGCTAGGACGTGTTCATACTGTCAAAATGATGGCTCTGCCACATGTACTATACCTGTTCGCACTATTCCCATAGCACTCCTAGACAGGCTCATCAGGAAATCTCAGTCTATTTTTAATGCATACATCTGGAAGAAAAAAAAAAAACAGAATTGCAAGGAGACTAACATGGATCCCATCAACTAAAGGAGGCCTGAGCGCCCCAGATATAAAAGCCTTCTACAAGGCTGCCGTGCTGGCTCAGGGACTGGATGTCCTAACACGCCCAAAAACCCCGGTGTGGTTCCACCTAGAAAATGCATGTGTACACCCAGACACAATTACCCAGAAACTTTGGTCACCCATGCAGGCAAACCATACCCCCATGCTCAGACTACCCAACACCAATTTCCTGCTCATGAGGAATGCGCCGTATTAATGGATGCGGCGCATCCCCTTTTCTTCACCCCCCTATCATGGCGGCATGATCTATCCAGAGACCTGCCGCTGGGAGCCTGGTTAAACAGCAGGATCGCAACCATTGGGTCCCTTTTCACCACTCAAGGCATTAAACTGTTCCCAGAGTTACAGACAGAATTCTCACTTTCCCCCAGGGAGCTCTTCACGTATCTCCGCATCAGACATATATTAAACTCAATGAACATACACCACTGCGATGCCGAACAACTGACAACCCTTGGTCGACACTGCATACAAAAACAACCGACATTTAAATCCCTCTCCCTTTGTTACAATGCACTCAATGTAGACTGCTCCAAAAAGCACCCAGACATGCTGCTGTGGGAACAAGATCTCAACGGGACATTCCCTCTCCTCCTTTGGCTACAGGCCCTCCAAACCACTACTACACATGTTCTGGGACTGTCCCAAATTGATACGATACTAGCAACAAGTGAGTGCTCTGATTACTGAAACCACTTCAGTAAGTGTCACACACCGCCTGGAATGCTTTCTCCCACATATCTCTCCAGAACTACTAACACTCCTGCTGGCAGCCAAGACCAGCATAGCCAGCCATTGGAAAAGGCCAGAGTCCCCCACCCTAAGGGAAGTGAGGGATAGGTTACACTTGACTCACGACTATGAACGTATGGCGTATAGACTGAAAGGGCAGGAATATAAACACACCCTACTATGGGAGAGCTGGACGCAACTGTCTTTCCCATGGGAAGTAGACACGTAAATTGTCATCTGATGTATAGAAAAGGCCATATAGTGGCGCTTAGACACGAGGGAATATACGCCTAACTATCAGGCGAACCCAACTTATTTAAGATAATTGTGACCATGCCAACTGTGATCTACCATATGTTTATTGCCTGACATATGTGATGTAAATGTACATAACGCAATGTGAATCGCACAAATGTTCATTGATGATGCACTGTTCCCCCCCTCCCATTTTCCTTTCTGTATCCCCATTGAAACCCACATTTTACTTGAAAACCTGTATATTACCTGAAAATCTCAATAAGATATTGAGAAAAAAAAAAAATTTTCATGCCTACCTTAAATTTCTTTTTATGATCAATCACCGTGGTAGCATTACGTTTTCACAATTCATCTATGGGAGTTGTGGAGCTAGTTAACACACTGAGTGGCCAGTTCTATTATTATAATTTATTTATTTTTTTCTGCTGTGATGAGGGGAACTTCCCATAAATAGTTTTAATTAGTACAGAAAATTACGGTAAGTACAATTTTTTTTTTTCATTAGGTTATACATGTCTGATTTTTGTTCCTACAATAATTGTTGCTGTTTGTTTTTAAAGATTCACACAGTATTTTTCTATATTACTGTTTTATTATATATAAATATATATATATATACATATAAATATATATGTATATATATATATATATATATATATATATATTTATAAAGTAAGACAAAATATTATACAGATCCATACATGGGCTTTGATAATTACACACATAAATATACATTTTTATGTTTCTTCATCTTTTACGTCATCATCTTTTGGTGGCACTATAGATTCCAAGCATGTTTTAACGTTAGAGATTGGGGAAAAGCGTCACCTGTTTAGAATGGTTATTCAATAAGCAAGTAAAGTCATTGAAAGAAATTTAAAATATTAGGCCAAAATAGCCAAACTTAGTTAAAGAATTGTGATTGGCTATTACAAATGTTATGAATAACCGTGTTATTACCATTTAGGTAAAAACATGTTAAGTATTAGTGCTCTCTTCCCATATGCTTGTTGAGTCTCTTTTTGTATTACTCGCCAATAAATATGTTGTTCTGGGTCTAGTATCTTCTCTGTGATAGCTCTCATTCCGTTTATTGCACATAAAAACACATTTGCCATGTTGAAATGTCAAAGTCAAATATATTTTTAGTTAATAGTTTCATGAACTGAAAAAGTCTTTTTTCCAGCAGAAGCTGGGAGTGGTGGTGATGTTTGTTGGTGTATTCCGGTGCCATATTTCTTATTATTAATTAATTACAGAGTCCAGAAACATTTTCACAGTCCAGAAACATTTTGTAATTAACACTTAAGTGTAATTATTGTAAAACAATTCCGACATTAATGCAGTTTTATATTAACCCGCAAAATACATACTTCTGCATATAACATTTTATTTTGGTACTTTTGGAAGTCTGTCATGTATTTGTTTTATTTATTTGATGTTTTATTTATTTATTCTCAGAGATCTTCATTCAGGTCACCCATTGCCACGCAGATAGATGTCTTCTTCTCAAGAAAGCAGTTGTTGCCTGCAGTCTTTTTACTGACAGGTAATTTGTGAAATATCTGCCACAGAATTATAATACTGCTTTTTGTGCTCTTAGACCATCACAAAGTGATAGAAACATACACTCAGTAAAGTATCAAAGCACTGAGTGGGAGTGGGTGTGGGAAGTAGAATAGCTAGTAGGCAGAACTTCCTTAGTGGTTTTGAGTGATGTGACTGACCGTCTGGGACTCTTTCGAAATTGATGTATCACCTTTTCACGGAATTCTTCTGATACATAGTAATATACAAATGGATCCACACAGCTGTTAATAGAGCTGATTGCCAAGCAGACCATGTAAACTGCATAGAGGTCACCATAAGAATGAAGGCAATGCTCAGAGTAATGCAACAAAAGTACCAAGTTACTGGGCGTCAAGAAGACAATCACAATGATCAGAACTAATGCACTCAACTTGACCGCATAGGCATATTTGTCTCCACTTAGAATCAGGGCGTGGATTACAGAAGCATAGCAGAAAACAATAATGCACAGTGGAAGAAGAAAACCCATAACAATGAGGCACATGAAATAATAAAACAAATACTCGGCCTGCTCTTGTCTAGGAAGGACATCATGGCACACAGTAAGCTTAGTCTGTGCCAGTGGATAGGACTGGCGAATGGTTGCCAAGGGTAGAGTAGACAAAATTGCTATGATCCAAGAGGTGAAGCACATGCCAATAGCAAATGTTTTGCTTCTAAATGTCCTGGAAAAGAAAGGGTGGACCACTGCCAAGTAACGATCCACGCTGATGCTCATGAGAAGTAATATTGAGCAGTACATGTTGCCATAGAAAAAAGTAGTTAAAGACCTGCACATTACTTCTCCAAATATCCAGTTATTACCTAAAAAGTAGTATGATATTTTAAAAGGTAGAACAAGTATGAGAAGTAGATCTGCAGCTGCCAGGTTCATCAAAAATATTGTGGAGGTCATCCTCTTCACTTTGGTTGCCAAGATCCAGAGTGCAAGAGCATTAGAAGGCAAACCCACCAAGAATACAATTGTGTAGATTGAAGGAATAATCATCACAGTGATGAAGCTTCTTAGGTGCTCCCTGGATGAGGAGGAGATGGCCAGCAGTGTTTGGTTCTCCATGAAGACTATGTCTCCTGGAATGGATCGTGGGCACAGGATGTTCTCAGATGCTTCTGTCTCATTAGATTGGTCTTCATTGGAATACTCTGTAAGAAAATGTAATAGAATGACATAGACACCATCAGTAGGAAACATGTTTTATTAAACATGACTGAAATGTAAACAACCAGTGGTTTTTACATTGAATGGTATAACTTCCTCCTATACACCTTTGGTTTCATTCTCTTGTCAATGACCACAGTAAGTAGGTCATGAGATGTCTGCATTCACAGTTCATTGCACTTGTTTCAAGACAGATAAGCTATGAAGGAGAAAGGAGGAGAGACAATTATCTTTGATTTCTTACTGATTTCCACACTATTGCACAGGATGTGACATTATAGTGTTCTTCTTTTTTTTCTTTTAATTTATTTACTTGGAAAGCTTTACAAAGACCCATTTTTGGGTCAAAACATTGCAGTGTTCATATTCCAATAATCGTGCCTGAAACTATAGAGTGCATGGGTCTCTTCTCTGTTACTGGTATTTATATATAATGACAATCACCATCTCCTATCTAGACTTGGAGATTCATTTTGTTATGAACTGCAATTTGTCTGAATTTCGGCCAATCAGGTGAATAGTCAAATTCCTAAACTCCAAGCCAAATGTAGCCAAATCACCTATGGTGCCACAAAAAGAGATGAACAATGGCTAGGGACAGTCTCTAAATGCTGATTGTATTCACCAATCAAGTGATCAATAAAGGGCAACAAGAGGAGCTGTAAAAAAATCTTTATATTTATTTAATGCTTATAAAATATATAAATATAGATTTTATTCTCTCTTTTTTTTTTTTTTACTGCTTCTCACTTTTTCTCTCTTGATCTGCTAGCCTAAAGGTGGGGGAAAGTGCCTATAAATGCACTCTAAAATATATACACAGTATTATATTTTTTATAAACAAATAAGAGAGCGCAAAAAAATTAAGTGAATAAATGGATACACAAGTGCACTCAGGCACTCTACAGGATATAAAAGGAAGCAGCCTAGATACTATAAAAACCTTCTCAAGTTTTAAAATTATGAAGAAAGAATTTAAACAAAATTAGTATCAGCACTTAGTAGATAATCCCTTATATTTTTAAAAAATATAGGGAAAAAGGAAACAATATCACAATATAATAATCAGTTCTTGAACTGTTACAATTCCCTATACAATCTGGACATATCCTTCTAAAACATTAACCTTGGAACTTTTACTTTTGAAACTGATTATTTTATTGTGATATTGTTTGCTTTTTCCCTATATATTTTTTTTTAATTAAGTGATTATCTACTAAGCGCCAATACTAATTTAGTTTAAATTATATAATATTATGTTTGTCTCATTCATTTTTCTTAATCTTTCCTTGTAAATGAAATGTGGCAGTGCCGAACTGCCATACGGCCGAAACTCAGCTTTGCCAAAAAAAAATAAATATATTTTTTGGAGAAGCATTTGGGTGAAATACATTATGACGCCATGCACAAGTCTACTCAAGTCATTTCTCTTCTCTGCCTATGGCCAAAAGGCATGGTCTACACCTGTCAAAGGGTGTAAACCAGATACTTCTTCCACTGGACCACCAGGGAAAATAATTCCTCCCCAGCATCCTCTCCTGCCAAGGATCAAGGTAAGGAAGAGGGATGGGGAGTATGTAAGTTGTTTTTATTTGTTTTCTGCCCCATGCCCCCCTTCATCACCCAGCTGTCCCTGCCCCTCCCTCTTTTACACCCTGCAGCCCCTGCTCCCCTCTCACCAAGAAGTCCCATGTCTCCTCTCACACCCTGCAGCCCCTATCTTCCCCTCTCACCCTGTAGCCCCTGTCCCCCCTTACCATGCAGCCCCTGCCCCCCTCTCACCCTGCAGCCCCTGCCCCCTCTCACCATGCAGCCCCTTCCCCCATCTTACCCTGCAGCCCCTGCCCCCTCTCACCCTGCAGCCCCTGCCACCCTCTTACACTGCAGCCCCTGCCACCTCTTACCCTTCAGCCCTGGCCCCCTTCTTACCCTGCAGCCCCTGCCTCACTCTTATCCTACAGCAACATGTCCCCTCTCATACGCTGCAGCCCCTGTCTCCCCCTCTCACCCAGCACTACCTGTCTTCCCCTCTCACCCAGCATCCCCTGTCTCACCCTGCAGCCCCTGCACCCTCTTACCCTGCAGCCCCTGCCCCCTCTCACCCTGCAGCCCCTGCCCCCCCTTTTACCCTTCAGCCCCTTCCCCCTCTTACACTGCATCACCGGCCCCCCTCTTACTCTGCAGTCCCGGCTCCACTCTTATCCTGTAGCAACATGTCCCCTCTCATACGCTGCAGCCCCTGTCTTCCCCTCTCATACCCTGCATCCTCTGTTTCCTCCTCTAACCCAGAAGCTACTGTCCGGGCCACCCAGCACTCCCACCAGGACCCACTTCTTCACCTCTCACCCAGCAGTCGCTGCCCCCCTCTCACCTTGCAGCCCCATGTCCCCATACACTGCAGCCCCTGTCTCCCCCCACCCTCTCATCCATTAGCCCCATGTCCCCTCTCACACCATGCCCTTCCTATCACCCAGCAGCCTCTCTCATACCCTGTATCCCCCGTCTCCACCTCTCATCCAGCAGCCCGTGCCCCCTCACCTCTTTCCCAGCAGCCACTGCCCCACCTCTCAACCAGCAGTCACTGACCCCACCTCTCACCTACCAGCCACTGTCCCTACCTCTCACCCAGCAGCCACTGTCCTCACCTCTCACCCAGCAGCCCCATGTCCCCTCTCACACCATTCAGCCCCATGTTCCTTCTCAACACCCGGCAGCCCCGTGTCCCCTCTCACACCCTGCAGCCCCATGTCCCCTCTCACACCACACAGCCCCATGTCCATTCTCACACTCTGCAGCCCCATGTCCATTCTCACACTCTGCAGCCCCACTTCCACACTCTAGATCTCTTATTCCACCCTCACATAACATCCCCTATTGGCTACCCCTCACACACACATCGCCTATCAGCCCCCATGCTACACGCGGACCTCCCTGAGGGGTAATAAACAAATGTTCCCACTTTGGAGAGGCACGAATGTCATTGGTGATGACACATTATAGTTTGCTGCATATGGGGCTGTGTCAATGGTGTTCCCTGATCGCAACGGACCCTTTCAGCAGGATAATGCACCTTGTCCATTCTCCCCATGTCCATTCTCACACTCTGCAGCCCCACTTCCACACTCTAGATCTCTTATTCCACCCTCACATAACATCCCCTATTGGCTACCCCTCACACACACATCGCCTATTAGCCCCCACGCTACACGCGGACCTCCCTGAGGGGTAATAAACAAATGTTCCCACCTTGGAGAGGCACGAATGTCATTGGTGATGACACATTATAGTTTGCTGCATATGGGGCCCCACTTCCACACTCTAGATCTCTTATTCCACCCTCACATAACATCCCCTATTGGCTACCCCTCACACACACATCGCCTATCAGCCCCCACGCTACACGCGGACCTCCCTGAGGGGTAATAAACAAATGTTCCCACTTTGGAGAGGCATGAATGTCATTGGTGATGACACATTATAGTTTGCTTCATATGGGGCTGTGTCAATGGTGTTCCCTGATGGCAACGGACCCTTTCAGCAGGATAATGCACCTTGTCCATTCTCCCCATGTCCATTCTCACACTCTGCAGCCCCACTTCCACACTCTAGATCTCTTATTCCACCCTCACATAACATCCCCTATTGGCTACCCCTCACACACACATCGCCTATCAGCCCCCACGCTACACGCGTACCTCCCTGAGGGGTAATAAACAAATGTTCCCACTTTGGAGAGGCACGGATGTCATTGGTGATGACACATTATAGTTTGCTGCATATGGGGCTGTGTCAATGGTGTTCCCTGATGGCAAGGGACCCTTTCAGCAGGATAATGCACCTTGCCATGCTACAACATGCACCCTCTAGGGCCGCACCCCTCCGATGGCTGCTCTCCCTTTAAATGCCTGGGCTGAATTTCTGTCCCAGTCGGCCCTGTCTGAGACATTCTTCTTAGATCTGGGAGCACTCTCATGGGAAAAGACGTCTGTAAAATTATCATATATAGGAATTTCACAAATGACTGACATGCTCCGAAATAACTCCCACCTTACTGGATGTTTAAAAAAAGATATAGCTACATACATCGCTATCAAACCATTGTCAGTGTTCCATCCTTTTCCATACATTACTTTCTAAAACAAGTTTCTCTCACTGACCATTATCCTTATCTAGCAGTTCTTTAAATGTACAATCATATACAGACAATACACCAGTTTGTCCACTTATCTATTGGCAGCAAATCAGCTGTATGGGTCATTTGGTAACATAATAATAATACACATTGTATGTAGGCATACAATAACAGTCTGGAACACTAATCTACAGTAAAAGAGGTGATCTTCATTGCTTGAGATAAGGAAATAAAAAGCAGTATAAAATAGTATAGATGGGCTTGTTAAAGTGTCTGTCTTTAGCTTGTGGTGAGCTTGTGGCTCCCCGATGCTCCTTGTTAGCTATAAATGCACGATGTGCACATGTCTTAACCGGCCTCATTTCTGCTTAACATTGCCAATTGTAAAGATACCACTAAAGGGAATCAAAGAGGAATTTGAGGACTGTATCCAGCCTTTACTCCAAACCTTACACGGATTCTAAGGGGGTGTACTGGCTTTCACTGTCAGACAAGGAACATTTAGGCCAATAAAAACTATATGGAAAAGGCCTCTAACACAAGAAGGTGACAATGTTTCATCTAAGCCAATGGTTTGTAACCTTTTTTTAATCAGTGACCTAAATTATATACATGATATATTTTATAAGACATTGATGATCCATTCTTTAAATATACAATTGGCTTAGTGATATAAATATACAATAGTATAAACAAAATTACCATCAATTTAGCAAATTACCCTACTTTGGCTTTTTCCATTCTAAAGGGGATGCCTGGGGCCTGACAAACATAATGTGTCTGACTGAGTCATTGTAGACCCACCTACATAATCCTGGGATCCAATTTTGGGTCAGAACCAGAGATTATGAAATAGTTCATAACTCACAACAACTCACTTTTTGTTGAATAAACCCATTAGCTGCACACGATTAGATCCTAAAGCAGGGGTAGGAAACCTTTGGCACATCAAATGTTGCAGACTACATCTCCCACAATGCCAGCCGTAACGCTGGCAAAGAATCAGGAAAGATGTAGTCAAAAACATCTGGAGTGCCAAAGGCTTCCTAACCATGTCCTAAAGCATGCATGCTTGCAGTTTCCACTCCGATTGCCAGTGAGTCACTCGGGGCTCAATAAACAAAACAGATACAAAACATACCATTAGTTAGAATTAGAAATGCTACTTACCATCGTAATCCGAAGCAGATAATGAATTTCCCAAGAGAGTCAGGAACAACACGAAATTGTAGATTGCCAACATGTAGTGAGGGGATCCCATCATTAAAAATTACAGGGGACTCTGCTTTTCCAGAATTCTGCAGTTTATACTACTAGCCTTCCACAAAAGGAAACCAAAGAGGAAATACAGATGGGGGGTTGGGGGGGGAGAGAGAGAGAGAGCTGTCTGTGTGCAGCAGATGTGCAGAGTCATTTAAATTATTAGAGATGTAATGAGGAGGCTCTGTTAAGGGACTTTATAGGGTCATTTCCTCTCTCCTGTGACCAAACAGTGACATTTTTTTTCATGGAGCTAAAAAATGACCTTATAACGTGATGCGGGATGTGTATATTTGTGTGGAAGAAAAAAGAAGTTGACGCTCATTCACTCAACAGTGCACTGTGATAAATTTAAATAAAATTGTAAGCTAGGGTAAAACAGTAAAACTTTCCAAGTTTTAGGTAAACTTAACTAAAGTTTATAATTTAGATTAAATTTCACCATGATTTACAGTTTAATGAATAAACCCATTGAATACCAATGCCACTGCTGGATATAAGCAACAGGGGTTATTTTTGAATATTAAATCACACCAGCAATGGTTAACAGGATTTGCATATATCCATAATATATGTATGTCGTAAACAGTACATTTGTTTATTTTATAATAATGGAGTCTTTCAATATGTACTGGATTCTAATTTTAAACCCAACGCCCACTGGTTGAAATTAATTCATCAACATGGGATTCATTTAATTGCCTCCCTAGCCCTCTTTACCAAAAATGTTGATTCAGACTTCCCATTACATATAACTTTAAAACATGAATTGGCCTGATAAGCTAGAAAAGAATTTGCAGAGGGAAAGGGGTTCATCACTTAAACAATAAGTGGGGCTGAATTAAAGCCCACATTTTCAAAAAATAATTTGTGCAATTCAATTGAATTTTCTCCCCCAACTTGACTATATATAGCTGAAGCACTACTGTATTCTCACACGTGTGAGAGAGGTCAAGACAGTGGCCTTTCTATCATGGCCAGTTAAAAGTTACTCCAGACCACATATCCTTTACAGGTCTTTGCGTGGACACAGAAATAGATGCCAGAAACATAGAATGCACATTTGTTCCTATCAACTGTCACAAGTGGTGGATGGTGGGAAATGGTAGAATATGACAGCATCAGCACTTTAATTTTGCCAATATTTGACTCATACAGGAGACAATGTTATCTCTGCTTTATCTTCCCTTAAATGTTTTTTCAAAATACAATGCTTTGTACCTAATGTCCATGTTGTTGTTTACAGTGTTACAGTGGCAGAGTTGTCTTTTTTAATTACAAAGTAGTAAGGGCAAGGTGCATGTAGAAAATAATAGACTGGTAAGAGAGGGAACGTTTGGGGGTAATAGGTGAGTGGCATAGCTTGAGGCAACATTGCATATCATAGCTCAGATTTTCCACAGAATAAGAAATGGTCCATAATAAACGGTGACGTGTACTGTGGGCTAGCTTGGTAGTTGGGGAGGGCAGGTGAGGGAAAAAGTATCTATCCTGTGAACTCTGGGATATATACACTGATAAGCCACAACATTAAAACCACCTGTCTGATATTGTGTGAGTGCATTTGTGCTACCGAAATAGCTCTGATGTGGCAAAGTATGGACTAAATAAGACCTTTGAATGTGTCTTTTGATATCTGGCACCAAGACATTAGCAGCAGATCTTTTAAGTACTGCAAATTGCAAGGCTCGATCTCCATGAATTAAAATTGGTGTTCCAGTACATCCAACAGATGCTCATTCGGATTGACTTCTGATGAATTTGGAGGCCAAGGCAAGACATTGAACCCTTTGTCATTTTCCTCAAACCATTCCTGAATAATGTTTGCAGCATGGCAAGGTGCATTATCCCGCTGAAAGGGTCCGTTGCCATCAGGGAACACCATTGATACAGCCCCATATGCAGCAAACTATAATGCACTGTGTGCTCTGACACATTTCTGTCATGGCCAGCATCATGTTTTTAAGCAATTTGAGCTAACGCAGCTCCTCTGTCATCAAACAAGACGGGCTACCTTCACTCCCCACGTGCATCATCAAGCCTTGGGCGCCATGACTCTGATGCCAGTTCATTGGTTGTTCCTTGCACCCCTTTTGGTAGGTACTAACCACTGCATACCGGGAACACCCTCAAAACGTGCCATTTTGGAGATGCTTTGACCCAGTCATCTAGCCTATTTGACCTTATTAGAGGCACTCTGCTCTTTTCACTTGAACATTTTTTCTGCTTCCAACACATGAGATTCAAGAACTGACTGTTCACTTGCTGCCCAATATATCCCACCATGGGTGTCCGCAAGGGGGGGCACATGCCCCTCCTCTGGATTTTTCAGCTTGTGCCGGTATTTTTCTTACTGCGGTAAGGATTATGAAATCATATATGTCCTAAGTGTCCCTATGTAGGAGCGACAGTCACTATTTTGGGCCCAAATCCCTCTGTCCATCAATTCTATCCCTGTTTCCTACGACCTCCATAATGTTGGTGTATCTGAGTGAATAACAGAGCTCCACAGCAATAATACTCACAGTAATTTTCCTTTTTTTTTTTATTATTCTTTTTTTTTGCTCCACTACTCCACAGCAGTAGGTGTAAAGCAAATAACAGTAACAAAAGGAAAAATCATAGCGAACATGCATGGCATCTTGTGTATGAGGCCCATGAGTAGAGGGTTTTATTTATATGGTGTTCTAGTGTTAAAACTGGTGGGAACGTGCAGGAAATCGGCCTCGGGGTTGGTTACTGTGGCGCATGGCTACTGGCTATAGATATTGCCTAAGGTCGTGACAAGGCTTGTATGTGTCAAGTAATTGCCAGAGGGCCGGATATTACTGTAGGTATAATGTGAGGCGTGTGGGGGTTAAAAAGCTGAAGACACAATAGAGTATCTAGTCGGCTTCGCTGTGCTAGGGTGCCGGTGGGAGTTTATTTCAGCCGAGAGGAAGGGCTCAGGTATACCGGCCTTCAGTGTGAGCTTGGATGCACCCCTAGGCTCCGATAGTCAGGGTTGTGGCACTGAGTGTAGTGAAGGGGTGTGTGGGGGGAGAGAGTCTGGCTAAGGGCCAGGGTATTTAGTAGCAGTTGGGTCCGTGGGATAAAAAAGCATTGAATGAAAAGGTATCAACAAAAAAATTCATGTTAAAAACTTAGATCAACTGGAACTGTCATTGGTGTCAGTCCTGGCTGAGAGTAAGCTTAGTGCTTTATATCAGTCCCCTTGGTTCAGGTAGGAGCTGCAGCGTATGGCTCTTCGTGGCACAAATGGGACGACCTTTGCTGGGTCCCAGCTGGGTGCTCTCTGGTTCATGCCTCTGGGTCCAGGTGGAAGCAAGGAATCTGCTGGAAGGCCCAGCTGGCTCATGAGTGCTGGTGCTTCTTGGAGGTCAGAGATAGAGTGGGTGGACTCCACATGCACGACTTTTAGTGCTCTCGGTGAACGCCACATATATTGTATGCTGTGGTTTCTGAGGAGAGTGGTGAGTGGTTGCATGTGTCTTCTCCACTGCAGGGTGTCTCCTGAGAGGTCTACATAGAATGAGAGAGTGGTATTTTCAAAGGAGTAGGGAGTATTCCCTTTGAGGGCTGAAAGCACTGTTTGCTTGAATACGCTGTTACGAAATCTCACCACCAGATCTCTAGGAGCTGATTCAGGTGCTCTCCAGGGTTTTGGGACCCGGAAAATCCAGTCGTAGTTGACACCTTTGACCTGTTTTGGCATTAATAGGGCTCCCATTATCTGCCTTATAAAGTGTGGGAGCTCCGCCGTGGGGATCCCCCTTAAAGGACCACTATAGTGCCAGGAAAACATACTCGTTTTCCTGGCACTATAGTGCCTTGAGGGTGCCGCCACCCTCAGGGTCCCCCTCCTGCCCTAGGGGGTGGAAGGGGTTAAACTTACCTCTTTCTCCAGCACCAGTCGGGGGACTCTCCTCCTGATTTTCACAGTGAGAAGCATGCAAGCCCTGGGCATAGTTCCGGATGTCCTCGTTGGGAACTGCCCGATATGCCTCAGTGGCTCTTCCCGTCAGTCTGACGGCTAGGAGAGGGACCCAATCCTCTTTGCTGACCTGGTGTAAATGACACAGCCGCTCAAAGTCCTGAAGGAAGGCATCTATGTCCTAATTTGCCTCTACATAGTCTTAAAATCCCCCATACGGTACTTTGGCTTTATTTTCCTGGATCACGATACTGCTTGGGGTCTTTCGTGCGCTGGTTGTCAGGGTCCCGCGGGCGGCTGCGAGGGGAGGCTGCAGTCCGCTCGCGGCACTCACCCTCCAGCCGTCCGCGGTCCCCTTCCAGACATGCGCTCGGCGGGCGGCATCCTCTCTCCCACGGATGCCGTCCGCCTCTTCCTCTGTGTCCCCCAGCGGCAGCATGCATGACGCTGCACGCTGGGAGACCGCCCATTTAAACAAACGCAGGGGTCAGTCACCTGACCCGGCGTTAAAGGCACAGTGCCTCAATCACAGAGGGAGGTTTAGATATATCCCACGTGTGATTGTTAATTCTGATTGGAAATTATCCAATCAGAATTAACCTTTGGATTTATATACTCACCTTTCCTGTTCCTCTTCGCCCTGTTGTGGTCTTTACTTGCTAGTATTGCTACTTACCTTGTGTTTCTGGTTACGTACTCTCTGGCTTGTTTATCCGACTTTGTGACTTTCTCCTACCCTTTGACCTCGGCTTGTTTCACGTTATTCTGTCTTCTGGTTCCCCTTTACTCGGCTTGTTTCCTGACTATTCTTTGTGTGCTTAGCCCGGCCACTCTAAGGTCCGGTACGGCACTTTGTGTTGGCGTGTTTGGTTCCCCGAATCGTGACACTGGTTGTTTAGTACTGGACAATAAGTACACTTGTATTTCGGACATGGTTTGTGTCAGTATTTGCACCGAAGGGTTTTCGCCATAAAAAGACAGCCGAAATCGTAGTTCCTTTTGAAATGTGTTTTCCTCCATTGCTGGTGAATCAGGGTTACCGTTTAATCGGTTTTCTTCCATCAATTTGGCAATGAGGGTGGCCTTTTTCTTATTGCTCACCGCTATACCTCTTGCCTCAAGGACATCCTTCAGAGTAGACTGTTTTAGGATGATATAATCGATCTCCATTCACTGTCCATTCGGTACTCCTATCCACCGACTGTGGCTCTTCTTCCTCTGTGAGCTCTGGATCCCGATGCTGCCAACCAATGTAGAGGAACGCTAGTCCTGACTTTTCCTCTGCTGGATCCATGAAGACTGAAACTCAGGAACAAGGCGCTGAAATATGAATCGCTCTGGACGACACACAGTTCTGAGAGTACAACTGATTTGTTCCACACATACTCAGCCTTTTATGCACAGACCCCCAGCATGGGGTCTCCATTCAAAAAGTACACAAGCCCCTCCCAGATGTCCCATTGTCCGAGATAATGGAGTCAAAACCGAGTAACTCAATTATCTCTGTTCCAGGAAACTACATGAAACATACATAAAGCACCCCCAAAACATAGTCATATTTTGCAGGAACCCCACAAGTCTTATATTCTCGAATAGCCTGGATCTGAGCACTCATGTTGTCTAAATAGTGCTCGGATCCGTTTGGTAGAATGGAATCGCCATTCGGTCGGCTTATGGGGGTTCCTGTGCGAACACTGATGAACCCTCCCCCAGTCTTTTAGGTAGCGAATGCTCTCCCCAGACGGTAATTCATGTCTCCCGAACGTTGTTCGTCTTGTTGGGCGGGAAGTGGGACGTGCAGCGGTATGAACTCCGCCCGGGTTCGTGGACTCGCATGGGGGAAAATATTTCCAGGCGTTTGACAACCATGTACCGCTTCCTGTGTTCGGGAGACAAAATGGCCATGCACTGGAACACGTGCGTTCGGTTATACGAATGATTGCCACCCAAGGAAAGCACTTGAGTTAATCACTTGATTTTTGGTTAACGCCAGGGGAGGTCGGTGTTTGGGGAGGTATAAAGGGGGGACCACACACCATCCATTCGGTAAACGAAGAATGGGGGTACAGACAACCGAACAAAAGGAAATGAGTCTGCTACAACAACTACATCTGAATGTGGTGGTTCTGGTATCTATAGCATGTCCCTGCAAGCTTTTTAATGTAAACACTGCCTAAATGGTGGGTTTAACATTATAGTGTCAGAAATATATGTTTGCTTTCCTAACACTATAGCAGGGGTGCCAAAAAGGTAGATCCCCAAATGTATTAAAACTACAGATTTCATGATGCTTTGTCATTGTAACGCATTCTAAAAGCATGCAAAGCATCATGGGAGGTGTAGTTCTACAATCTGGGGATCTACCTTTCAGGCACCCCTGCACTACAGAGTTCCTTTAAGCTACAATAATTGTTACATAACTTATCAGTAAGTCACCTAAAATTTCTCAGAACAGCCTCTCCCATAGCCAAACCCCCACTTACATCCGTAAAATTTGTTGGGAGGTATGGCAATGGGTGAGAGCTATTTACTAATTCATGGTGGTGAACATTCTCATTTAAGGCTTGCCTGTCAGAGTGCTCTAATTGGCTGGCTCTCATTTGCTCTCAAAGTACTCTGCGTCAAATTTCAAAGGGTGGGAAGGCCTTTACAAATGCTTTTTTCATCTTGAAATGCCAGTTGGCGCGGAGACCTCAAAAGGCAAAGAAAGATTTATTTTTAATGCTTTATGGCTTTGTTTTTTTCCTATTTTTAATTTTTTTGTGATTCCATTTTTTTTTTTTTTTGTTACAGTTGTTTACATACTTACATAGCTGAAAAGAGATATGGTTGTGGCAACTTTTAAAATAAACTTATTTTTTTTGAGCTTTTCTGGGGCTGAAGAAAAGAAGATATAATACTTCAGAATTCTTATTTTATTTTACAGGTATAGATTTATTATCACAATTATTTGTGAGTATGGTAGGCAGGACGGCTGGAGGCCTGAGACAAATAATATTTGTGCCTCTTACAGATGCATTTGGTCCTAATTTTCTTTAAAATTGTCTCCTTTTTCATTTGGCTTCAATAAAACCCAAAAATGTTTTTACCTTGACATTTTAATACCTGTTGCAGTGGGTACTAAATGCCTCTGTAATTAAAATGTACGTAGGAATTTGGGATAGTGTGCAGGTATCGGTATCTTTTTGTATAATATATAAAAACTGCAATAATTACATGCTCAGGGTTAAGGGTGATGGGAGATTGCACCCAGACCAGTTCAATGAGCTGAAGTGGTCTGGGTGCCTATAGCGTCCCTTCAAGATAAAATTGTTTTGATGACTATAGTGTATTTTTAATATAGTTGTTCTTGTGTCAACTGCGCGGCAACGCTCCACACAGCATCGTGCGGGAGGACAGGGGAGCTGCTTCACAGATCCCTCCCCCTGCCTCCCGACACAGAAGCAGAGTAGGCGCCTTCTGTTTTGGGCAGGCAGGTGCCTTCTCTGCATTGATGGTGAACCTATGGCCACGTGCCATAGGTTCGCCATCATTGGCCTAGGAATACCTCTAGCCTTCCAGCTGAAGTGGTAGAGGTTAACACAGTAAAGGAATTTAAGCATGCGTGGGATAGGCATAAGGCTATCCTAACTATAAGATAAGACCAGGGACTAATGAAAGTATTTAGAAAATTGGGCAGATTAGATGGGCCGAATGGTTTTTATCTGCCGTCACATTCTATGTTTCTCTAGTGACAGTCACTCAGAGGGCCACTAGAGGTGCTTGTGGGTCAGTGCTGCACACTGTGCACTGGAATAAACTCTCCTTAATAACCGGAGGTGTGGGGGGCTGGGGACCTAAATTGTTTTTTAGAACTATAGTGTCAGGAATACAGGTTTGTATTCCTGACACTATAGTGTCCCTTTAACATAAATTTAAAAGGAAACAGAGCAACTCGTGAAGTGACAGTCCCATTTTAAAAGTATGGGTAGGTTGTGCATATTGTCCATGTTAAGCAGAGATAATTAGACATGAACTAAATGATGTCATAAGTAGACAGGCAATCAAGGCATAGATGTATGCTCTACTGACATTTATGAGTTCATATAATCCAATTATCTGGTTTATATAACAACACTATGCAAACTCATAGCATGCATTCTAATTAAGGAAAACACTGTTATGTAGTCAGTAGATACTATTACCCAAACAGAATTAAATAAGTCCGCAAGGATCCATAGGCGTGCGCAGCCTATTGCATTAGGGTGTGCACCCTAAAGCACAAGCCGCATATATATGTATGTATGTATATATATATATATATATATATATATACATACACATATGTACACACACATACACACACTGCTGTGTGTGCTGTGTGAGGGTGCTGTTAGTGTGATGTGTGTGACGGTGCTGGTAGTGTGCTATGTGGGTGAGGGTGTTTGTGTGTGCGTGCTTGTGAGGATGCTGTTAATGTACTGTGTGTGAGGGTGCTGTTTGTGTGTGTGTGCGCGCTTCTGAGGGTGCTGTTAATGTACTGTGTGTGAGGGTACTGGTAGTGTGTGTGTTTATTAGGGTCCTGTTTGTGTTTGTGAGGGTACTGTTAGTGTGCTGTGTGTGTGTGAGGGTGCTGTTTGTGTGCTGTGTGTGGGTGCTGTATGTGTGTTGGTGCTGTGTATGTCTGTGGGTGCTGTATGTGTGTGGGTGCTGTGTGTGAGTGCTGT